ATGAAATATTTCATTTTCTTCAGAAAACAATGTAGTGTTACTTTTTAAATTAGTTTTTATACTTAAAAATACCCCACTTTCATCCAATCACCTCATGTATAAATTGACTCATACGGTTTTCCCTGCACTTTTTTTCAGCCAATCGCTAGCCGTGTTACAATACGTTACCCTGACCACAAGAAGCGGCGTAATTTCCGTTTATCATACCTTTTAGGTGTTTAGTTACTAAACATAATTCACTTGCATGATTGCCTACAATCAACATCAGCGGACTTTAAAGGAATATAGGCATATAAGTTTTAAAACGTTGTAGACACCACATTTCCTGGAAAAAGAAACTTAAAAAAACCCCAAAAACATCAGGTTACATACTGTCTGAGGTTAAATATTTTTCAAGGAAGTGAAAACTATTGAAAAGACTATATTCAACGACAAATAAATTTACTGATGATATTTCAATTTGCATAGGAATGAATAACATTGACAGTTAAGCTGCTACCTTACCACTTTCAAATTTCTAAGTAAATTTTCCTAGTGGTAGCATTTGCTATAACATTAGTAACCTTAATTCTAGCGTATGACTTGACAAGAAAAACTTTTAAAAATAGTAAAATTAAAACCTAAGTTGTATGTACCCATTCGTACATAACTTTTTATTTTTACCATATATTTTCCCATTTTTCCCATTTTGTTTTTCAATAAGTAAAAATTAAAAGAGTCCAAATGTATGTATGTTGATTATCAATTTATGTATACTTTGTTTATTTTATCTCTTAGAAAGCCATCACTTACAAGACTTAATAAATATTCTGTGTAGTATTTCATGTACATAAAAGTAGTTCTCTGTTTTTGATCATACAGACAGCAAATCTAGACAGCAAATCTAGGTAACAGCTAATGACAGCATGTATACACATATTTTAGAGGTGCTATTGATTCAGCACAATGCATAAAAAGACCTTAACCTACGTCAGCTTACATATATTTAACAATAAAAGGATAAATCACATCCTATGACTCAAAATACCTCCCAATGGAGGTAAACAGAGTTGCCAGGATACACTGAATATTTATTTCAACATTAAAATGGGACAAATTCACAAGTTTTGGTTATACAACGGAATTATCGATAGTAAACTTTGCATTGTTTCGTGGTTATACACTTGGTCAAAAATATGAGTTTTTCTACAATCCAACATAGTCCTTCAAAGAAAGAAGGCACAGGCTTATTGTTCAGTTCTCTTTATTCGTGTTGCCAAAAGTGCCTTCCATGTATCGCATTCTAGTACTATTTGCTGAAGGTAAAAAAAAAAGATAAGCTTAAGAGTATTGCCTTGGCTCACAAAACCCTATCATTGTTATCAATGATTAGTGATGTGTGTCATTATATATGGGAAACATTTCCTTATTTTATTTCACCAACTTTAGTTTTTGCATATTATTATGCTCATTATCAGTATATACGTTGTTACATTTTTACATTATATCTTAACCAATTTTGCATTACTTGAATATCCTGTACTAGAATACGTTTTAACAAAATCAGAGGATGTTCAAAGTCAAGATTGATGTAACAGTTTCTATATAATTTGAAATATTTTTGTACCAGCAAGAGTTACCTCTCTTTATATTCTGCTTTCGTGAAATTGGCTCCGCCTATTAATTTTCGTCTATTTCCGTGATAATTCCATATATGGAAGTTGCAAAATCGTTTACAAATGTTAATCGCGTTAGAATGTAAAAGGAAAGTGTGGTGTTGTAAACCTGAGTGTGTCAAGATGATGCAGTTACATTCACAACGTCATGGTGCACAGCATTAAACGTATTGTGTACGTTCTATCGTTTACATTTCTACATGTCGCAAATTTGAAATTATACATTTATAAATACAGTTTGCAATTTATCTAAGTTGCATGTTAACAGCTTTCATTTTATCAAATCGAGATAATCAAAATGCTTAATACCAGTGCAGTATATGTAACTCTCGGATCGACAATTAGATTTTTACTAATCTGTTTAGTAGAACCGAAGTATGCATTGTCAAGTTTCAAAGGCTGGATTTTTGGCAACGAATAGCCTCTATAATAAGGGAGTACACATTATACATGTAATTAATAAACCAGCGGATAACATGCAATACTTTTAGAAATTCTATACAATTGTAAGAAGCAAACAAGTTGAAAATGGAATTTAGTGTGAAATTGAAAAGGACAAACTAAACACTGTAGTGCTTAAGTGACATTAAAATTAAAAAAAAAACGATGTGCTCTGGCCTCTACATCTTTACCTTGTAAATAAAAAAATTAAAAAATACACTATTAATTGCTGATGATTTTAACCAAATTTTTTTTAATGAGACATATGATGATTATCCAAGAGAAATAAAAATACAAATGACTTATATTTTATTGTCTATATGCCCACTATGATATAACACGAAGCAATTCTAAATAGCATTCTCAAATGTATAATGTATTATGTTTGAAGTTTATTTGCCTGGATTTATTTTAGAAATATTTCGTTGACAGTTTTTTTTTTTCTATTTACATATCATTTCTTAGAATAAATCGATAAGGACACTGATTTACAAGTTTGACCAGAGTTTTTAGGCATGAATTTCATTCTGTATTTAAGTGCTTGAAAGTAGAAAATCTGAATTATATCAGTTTGGGACACAAAATATATTGCTCTACAAATCTCGAACTTGTATGGAACAAATTTTCTCTGTTATATATTTTGTGTTCTGTTTTTGTTTAAAAGAAGCCTTAACGTCTCTCCGGTTGCATGTCCGTCGCATTCAGTGCTGCAGCACTTTGATTTTGTATTTAGAGCTACAGCTGTGTCAGAACACTTAACATTTGATATTTCACGCTTCAATTGATGTTTAAAATCATGAAATACAGATTTCTGACATGTTTTATAGGTGTCCAGAATTAAACCAAGATGTGACAAATTTACTTCAGAATAGAGTGCGAAAATTTAGTTGGCTGATACCTTATAGGAAACAAACTGTTTTGGTTTAGACACTTCAACTGATGTTTAAAATTTAAGAAATACAAGTTATATTTTGTCTCAGCATTTTAATGACCAGTATCTCAATATAAACACAAGGTTGAAATATATTTAGAGCCACACTACCTTGCACATTAAATTTTCTTACTGAAATATGATCCCAGATTATGGGATTGTGACAAAATAAAAAGGAGAGATATTTATACACAGTTTTAGAAAAATATTTATTACAAAGTAAATATATCTGGATGAATTCTTGACAATTAAATGATTGTTGGCCAATGACTACATGTATAATATGTTGGCAAATATTTTGATCTATTATCTATATATATAGAAGGGCCTGACTAAAAAGAAATGGTATTCATCCTCATGTAAATTGTGTTGCAAAAAGTACATAGTCAATTTTGTCAGGATATATCGCCATATCTTCCAGTTTCTTTTGTTCATCAGTTATGTGCTTATACTCTTGGAAAGATAGATTTTTAGAGAAAAGATAGCTGTAGGTTTTTTTTGTGTATTTGGTAAACATCTTATTCACATAACATGCAGATTACTTTTAACACTGAATACACCTTACATATTTTGTATGTACTGCTTCTATATCGAGGGCTTTATGACTGCCCCATATTTGTGATCCAAAGTCAAGAACTGATGTTAAGTTATACAGTGAAAATCCTCTATTAACCCTTTCCCCCATGAGCATATTGTGAAAAATGGCCGTTTTCACTGAAAAGCCTCCTGTTACAAGTTCAAACTGCTATGAAACTATGAAAAATGCTTCAATACTAATCAAACTTGGCACAAATGTTGACTGGACCATTGCCTTTGTAACGACATGCTCAGTCTTAAATTTCCTGTTACCATGGCAACGAGGGGACATCTCAAAATTGCCAAAAATCACTATTTTGCCTCGATTTTTTCCATCAAAATTTATTTCAAAGTGCTGCAACTTCTCAAGGGATTGAGATAGAGTCAAAGGCTTTTCAGCGTTGGTTACATTATGATCGACCTGGGGTCATTTTTAGCCTCTCATAAGTCCAAAATTTTCTTGGTGATGAGGGGGACTCCGCCCCCCTTCAAACCCCCTAACAGATGGGGACACATCCCCCTTCTGGCAACCCCCTGATGTATCATTTGGATGGGGCGCGGCGCCGAAAAAGTGCTCAATTTTTTTTAGCAACATTTCTCAAACGAAAACATGTGTTTAGGGCCCAAATAGGACATTTTTTCACTATTTGAGGCCTAAAAAAAGCGGGGGGGGGGGGTCGAAAGTGCGTTGTTTCGCGTATATATGAGGTAAAGGGTTAAGAGTCCTAATATCAGACAACCACTGGGACTGGGATTTTACCAAAGTGCTCTTAATTTGTTACTTTATATTCTCAAGGCTTATATTTTAATGGCCATAGTTGTTTTGTACATGTATGCACATATTGAAAAATTAAAAATACTAATATGAGAGATGTTTTAATATTTAGTGGAAAGCACATTGGAAGAATTTTAATGTAAAGATTAAATTTAACTTTCATTGGTCTTGTCAATGAACATTGCCCCATTTAGCCAGGAATAGGCTTTTGTTAACAATTAAAATAAATATTCTGGAAAATCGTAGTAAGCAAATGATCTGAAATTTTGCACACAAGTTATTGGTTTAGACCTATATCAAATGGCACATTAATCTCAAAAAAATATTTCCATTCTCTTCATGTCAAAAAACCTGAGTGCAGTCCCTTTAAGGAGTAGATTATGCAGAAAGAAATTGCAGATAGTGAATTGGCCATCACAAAAGCTCATCTGTGAGCTAATGTTCTAGAAACCTGGAATTTTTAAGAGACATTTATGAAGACTTAAGGCAGACCCATCAGGTTTCACATAAATGTTTTTTACTGAGTTTTAATAACTTCAATTCAACCCTTTTAAGTATTAAGTATTGACTTGTGTGTATATCATATTGTTTAAACAAAATGTTAAAATAAAATAACAACATCTAAAAGAACGTTTTATTTCAAATTTTTCACAGAGATACAGAAAATATTAAACATATCACAGTCATTTTATATAATATACTATTTCAGAAGCAAATTGTTTCTTCACAGATACACAAATAAAAACTTAATAAAGTCTCTTTTTCACTTCCTCACAGTACACTTCTTTAGTAAATATTTTGAAAAAAGTTTTCATGCACTTTATATTATCTTTACATATTAAGGTAAGAATTTTGAGAAATAAATATATACTATCATATAACAATTAATATTTTTGTCATCATTTCACAAGACTACTTCACTGGAACTGGTTCTGAAAAAGAAACAAAAACTTGATCTATCATGTATGGTATAACTGTATCAATATCAAAATAACAAGACAAATAAATAAGTATTGTAAAATTAAAACCTTTCATTTTTTTCAAGTTTTTGTCTGAAATGTTTTGTGTAATTTAAATGAAATTATTACCTTAAGAAGATTAATAACAATTAAGTTTTGAAAACAATAAAATTTCATAAAGATAACAACTAACCTAAAGTAATGCCTTTTCTAGGCCGTATTATGCCAGTATTGGAAGGAGGTTTGGTAGAAACAAGTCTTGCTCCAGGAGATTTTCCCCCCTTGGGACTGTTAGGTCCTCTATTATCATACTCGTGGCCAGTTAGAACTGGTGATCATTGTTAAGAAAATAATTCAAATCTCATTGACAACTGGTTTTCTTAAGTTTTTCTAAAGTAAGCAGCATTTCCAATAGCATAAAAAAAGAATGACTTGAATTAATATATAAAATTGAGTGACACAGTCTAATGATTATTTTCCTACATACCATTCTGTTTTTAATTCTTACCCTGTTTACTTTGTATAACATAGGATTTGAAACTGTTCAATGTTACTAAAATGATATGATATAAAATTATTACAGTAACATAACAACAGTCAATAGGAACAAGCCTGGTCAGACTACATGCCTGTAATGCCAACTTGTCTCTATACTTGTGGAACAAATAACTATCAGCGCTAGCAACCAAAAGTTAAATCCTCCAGTTGCATTCCCTGAGATATGGAGATGTTTAACCCTATCCTATTTGCTGAACAGCAGCATTGTTAAAGTCATCACCACAGTTTTAGACTATTTTATCAAAAAGGATATTTGCAATAATTGGTAAGAAGATGATGTCAGTTTCTGTGACAATCTCAAGCTCGTGCCGGATTGAGCCTACACCAGTCTCTCCCTCCACACCGACAGCGATGGCGTAAATCTCTACATCAATCTCTGTCTTCATACCTGCTGCTACCTGCAACAAATTATATACCATACCTTATTGCCAAAATATATAATGTTGTATCAGTGATTAACTTTCATAGTGTCTGAGAAAATTAACAAAAAGGTTAACCAGGACAAAAAATCTACCGTAAATTAAAAAAAGGGACATAACTTTGCAACAACAAACAAGAACTGTCGGAGGACAGTAACGCTCGACTATTCGAAAATTTGTCACAAGGGTGTTTCATTGAGTATAATAATGCTTACCTATATGAATACATAAAATTGTCCGAAAAGGTACAAACTCTTCAAGTTTCAATACATTCCCTTCAGTAGTTATGGAGAGACAAGCTTACATGCAAAAACTTAACCAAGAATTCATGAGTCTAAAAAGGGGCATAATTATGTTAAAAAGCAAATCAGAGTTATGGGACTTGTGCCAATCATCTTAGATAATCACAGAGAACAAGTGTGTGAAGTTTCAATCCATTCCCTTCAGTAGTTATGGAGATACCAGCTTACATGCAAAAACTTAACCAAGAATTTCTAAGTCGAAAAAGGGGCATAATTATGTAAAAAAGCAAATCAGAGTTATGGGACTTGTCTTTAGTATGTTAGATAATCACAGAGAACAAGTGTGTGAAGTTTCAATCCATTTCCTTCATTAGTTATGGAGATAGCAGCTTACACGCAAAATCTTAACCAAGAATTTCTAAGTCGAAAAAGGGGCATAATTATGTAAAAAAGCAAATCAGAGTTATGGGACTTGTGCCAATCATCTTAGATAATCACAAGGAACAAGTGTGTGAAGTTTCAATCAATTCCCTTCAGTAGTTATGGAGATAACAGCTTACATACAAAAACTTAACCAAGAATTTCTAAGTCGAAAAAGGGGCATAATTATGAAAAAAAGCAAATCAGAGTTATGGGACTTGTGCCAATCAATCATTCTTAGATAATCACAGAGAACAAGTGTGTGAAGTTTCAATCCATTCCCTTCAGGAGTTAAGGAGATACCAGCTTACATACAAAAACTTAACCAAGAATTTCTAAGTCGAAAAAGGGGCATAATTATGAAAAAAAGCAAATCAGAGTTATGGGACTTGTGCCAATCATCTTAGATAATCACAGAGAACAAGTGTGTGAAGTTTCAATCCATTCCCTTCAGTAGTTATGGAGATACCAGCTTACATACAAAAACTTAACCAAGAATTTCTAAGTCGAAAAAGGGGCATAATTATGAAAAAAAGCAAATCAGAGTTATGGGACTTGTGCCAATCATCTTAGATAATTACAGAGAACAAGTGTGTGAAGTTTCAATCCATTCCCTTCAGTAGTTATAGAGATACCAGCTTACATACAAAAACTTAACCACAGGGACGCCGACGCCGACGCCGACGCCGACGCCGACAAATGGGTGACTGCATTAGCTCGATTATTCTGCGAATAGTCGAGCTAAAAATGATGATAAAGATGTATACCAAGTTTAAAGTGACATGCTTTTATAGTTTCTAAGGAAATGGACCTTAATAAAAAGCTTAACCAAAGCAAACACTGACCCTTTTTATTTGAAAAGTGGACCTAATTAATAGCTACATGTACAACTAAGATTGAGAATTGTAAAAAAAAAAGTATTGACATTTCCACAAATGTTACTTGAACCAAAATAAAAAAAATAGAACTAACTGGTCCTGGTTTGTAGATTATTCTGATACCAGTGGCAGGTGGAGGTTGTTTAACCTTGAACCTGCATGTATCCACACCAGTGTTCTTCAATATCACAGTAAATGCATAAGTGTTGCCTTCTTTAAGCACACCAAATTCCACTTCCTCTGGTAGAAGGATCAAACCTCTCATTGCCATCAACTGGCTGTGTCCCTTTACTGTAGCACCAGCTAGTAAGGAATTATTGGTCCTACGTCGTACTGGATCCTCCACTTGAATATACTGAAAATTGATAGTAGGATATGTAAATCATATATAAGAAGATTGGAGAGACAGAGATAGGGAAAAAAAGTGCACCACAACATACTATTGTATACTTTATCCACAATTTTAAATAAACTTGTTGTAAACATAAAAATATTTAATGCATATAAACTAATTTGAAATAATTAAAATGATAGTCATTGACAAGATAAACCAATACTTACTTTAGTATTTGGTATAGCTCCAGGTTTGCCTCCCTTGATCACTGCTGGTAGTGGTACAGGTTTGTTTCTAGGTCGACCAAGAACATCCATTTTGAGACTCTGAGCTATCATCTCCTGCTCTCCAGTAAATTCAGGTTCTAAATAAGCAAACAATGAGGCTAAGATAAGTAAATCTAAAATTAAGCTATTATTGTAATTATCTACATTATTTATTTATAAATTAATCTATTAAGGTAAAGAAAATAATTTAGATCTTTAGTTTCCCCCTTGTTATTTATGCTGGTTTTACCACATTTGGTCATGTATCAGCAGTAGATCAATGTAACCAGCTTTAACAAGTGACAACTATCATTCTCATGTGATATCTGAATCATTGGTGAAAGACAAATGAGTATTTGAATCAATGTCCAAGATCAACTGTCACACAGAAATATGCCTCACCCAAACATAAACCAATGACCTCTACGTTATTAATATGATGTTTTCCCTTTTAAACTAAGCCAGCACAGACTATATATCACAAAATTTCATGATTTAAATTACAAATCATGTTGTATTAATATCTAGAACTAAACAACATATTTATAAACGCTTAAAACCTAGATACATGTATACATTTTTAACTGTATATCACATGACTTCACAAAATGATTTCTAACTGAATATCATAGTTTTAAATGATTTAAAACTAAATATAGCTAGAAAGTGTCAATTTAATGATTTAAAACATCAAATTTTGGTCTCATAAAATTGTTTATACCCAAAAGTTGTTTTAACTGTTTAGTCTTATTTGTTATTTAATTAAGAAATAATATATCCCAATCAGTGATTTTATCGCTCAATAACATCACTGTTTGGAGTTCGGATGCGAGGAATTATATCACGAGGGCGTAGCCCGAGTGATATAATGATACGCATCCGAACTCAAAACAGTGATGTTATCAAGCGATAAAATCACCGATTTGGATATATTATTTCGATTCTAACACGACATTAACAAAATAAATGCTGCCGTACCTGATATTAAGCTAAATAATTCCGCCTAATTTGTTTCCGTACCTATTGTCAGCGCTTCACATTTTTAGTGGTTACGTCATGTTTATAATGATTACGTCACTTGTCTAAATATAGAACGTCAAACTGTGATTTTATAGCATAATAACACACACTTTCGGTTCTTCTATGTTCAATAGACGTGTTAGAATTCATATTAATGTCTTCTCAGCCTAACTTAAATGTGCTGAACACTGCTATACAGTCCACTTTGGATATAAATCATAAGGGCAGAACTTTTTTTTTTTTTTTTTTTTTTTTTAATTTTATCATTTACATCCATTCTCAATTAATGCATTGTGTTTATTCTCAATTTATACATTGTATTTTTAACAAACACTGACTGAGTCTGGAAATGAGCTGTTAGTTTGTGGTAATCACTTTAACAATTTCTATAATAACATTTTATTTAACCTAGAGAATAATTTATACCAATACGGAAAACTTTAGTACTGCTGACACTTTAATCACTTATTGATTCCTGAAGTCTCATGAAAATCACACATGGGTGGCATATATATATATGTTGTACCAATATTTTGCTATGATGAACTCACAATAAGTAAAGTAGACCATAAATCTCAAGTTTATATTTAATCTAAATCAAGTATCAAATGCAGTATACATTTAACAAGAGCTGTCGGTAGGACAGCACCCTCGACTACTCTAAGTGCTTGATAGTAAAAGAGCCTTGATAATGTTAAATTTTCTAAGTTCACAAAAGGGCTAATTTTTTTTTAATAAATTCATGTTATAGGCCTTAGAGAGAGTCTAATTATACAGTATTGGCTTGACTATTTGGAAGGTAATGTCACAAGGGTGTTTTATTGAGTATAATAATACTAACAAGCAAATTCGTTGAATTTATATCCCCCGCCGAGCACTGGTTATTATTAACACAACAACTGAAGACATAAGGCTTTATTTATATATTAATCATGGCATAAACTGTAATATTCTTTGAACTTGAAGCCTGAGTTGTACCTTCAAACAAGAAGAAGGAAAATCTATGACCCCCTGGAGTGGGGCCAATTTTGACCCCAGGGCTAAAATTTGAACAATTTTGGTAGAGGACCTATATGTTATATCATATACCAAATATCAAAGCTCTAGGCCTTGTACTGTCAGACAAGATTTTTTAATTTTGCATTTTTGAAACTCCTTTTCTGGCCCTGTGACTGATGATTGTGATTGAAAATTACAAAATTTTACTAAGTCAAGGGCAATAACTCTAAAAATACTAAAAATATCCAGACGAAAATACCCAGGTGCACAACTACACATACTGATCAACATTCCTGTAAAGTTTCATGACTCTAGGTCAAATACTTTTTGAGTTACATGCGACACAAGTTGAAAATTACAAAATTTTACTAAGTCAAGGGCAATAACTCTAAAAATACTAAAAATATCCAGACGAACATACCCAGGTGCACAACTTCACATGCTGATCAACATTCCCATAAAGTTTCGTTGAATTCCAGCCATTAGTTGCAGAGAACTACTCCGGAAACGAAATTCGGACAAAATTTTACTGAGTCAAGGGCAATAACTCTTAAAATACTATAAATATCCGGACAAAAATACCCAGGTGCACAACTACACATACTGATCAACATTCCTGTAAAGTTTCATGACTCTAGGTCAAATACTTTTTGAGTTACATGCGAAACAAGTTGAAAATTACAAAATTTTACTAAGTCAAGGGCAATAACTCTAAAAATACTAAAAATATCCAGACGAAAATACCCAGGTGCACAACTACACATACAGATCAACATTCCTGTAAAGTTTCATGACTCTAGGTCAAATACTTTTTGAGTTACATGCGCCACAAGTTGAAAATTACAAAATTTTACTAAATCAAGGGCAATAACTCTAAAAATACTAAAAATATCCAGACGAAAATACCCAGGTGCACAACTTCACATGCTGATCAACATTCCCATAAAGTTTCGTTGAATTCCAGCCATTAGTTGCAGAGAACTACTCCGGAAACGAAATTCGGACAAAATTTTACTGAGTCAAGGGCAATAACTCTAAAAATACTAAAACTATATCCCCCTCCCGATTCCATCGGCGGGGGATAATTACCTATGAATACATAAAATTGACAGAAAAGGTACAAAGGCTTGTTATTAAGATGTTTTATCAAGTAAATCACTGCTTTATTATTATGAATGCATAAAATTGACCCAAAGGAGGCACAAACCCTTCAGTAGTTATGGAGATAACAGCTTACAAGCAAAACTTTACCATGAATTTTTTAAGTTGAAAAGGGGAAGAAAAATCAGCCTAAATGCAAGATAGAATTATGGATCTTTGTCAGTGACCTACAATTCTGACCCTAAATGCATATGAGAAGTTTTAAATAAATATCTTTAATAGTTATTGAGATATGTAAAACTTGCATGTAAACATTAACCAAGAGACTAAGTAGAAAAGGGGATATGAATCAGCCTTAATGCAGGATAGAGTTATGGAACTTGGTCAGTGACATACAATTATGACCCTCAAGTTATGACCCTAAGTACATGTGTAAAGTTTCAAGTAAATATCTTTGAAGACCTTTAACCAAAATCTCTAAGTTTCAAAGGGGCAAATAATTCTGCAAATATTGCAGACAGAGTTATGCAATTTTGCAAAATGATGTACATTGTTACTATAAAAAAAGTATTGTAAATTTCAATTGAATATCTCAAGCAATAATTGAGATATTTGACTTTACAAAAAAACTTTAACCAAAATTTCTAAGTTTCAAAGGGGCATAATTCTGTCAATATTGTAGGCAGAGTTATCCAACTTGTCAATCTGATGTACCTTGTTACTATAAATAAGTATTGTAAGTTTCAATTGAATATCTCAAGCAATAATTGAGATATTTGACTAACTTACAAAAAACTTTAACCAAAATTTCTAAGTTAAAAAAGGGGCATAATTCTGTCAATATTGTAGGCAGAGTTATCAAACTTGTCAATCTGATGTACCTTATTACTATAAATAAGTATTGTAAGTTTTAATTGAATATCTCAAACAATAATTGAGATATTTTGTCTATACAAAAAAACTTTAACCAAAATTTCTAAGTTAAAAAGGGGCATAATTCTGTCAATATTGTAGGTAGAGGTTATCCAACTTGTCAATCTGATGTACCTTGTTACTATAAATAAGTATTGTAAGTTTCAATTGAATATCTCAAGCAATAATTGAGATATTTGACTTTACAAAAAACTTTAACCAACGCCGACGCGGACGCTTACGCCGACGCCGGGGCGACTACAATAGCTCTCATATTCTTCGAATAGTCGAGCTAAAAATGTAATATTTCTTTAAAACATAAACATGTTTCTGGTTTTATTTCTGTATTGCATTACATTACATTGTATCTCCTCAAAGTTGTTGCTAAAGTCACTAAACTGATTAATTTAGAATACATTCATTTTAGAACTGAAAATGGCAATCAACAAGTTATAGCTCTATTAAAGAATGTTACATTCTTGAAATCCTGAAATTGTTATCAAATTAAAGGATATGATGATGACAAGCTAAGAAAATAACTACAAAAAAGTGTTAAGATTTCTCAATAAATCTCCAGTAAAAATATTATTTAAACAACGTTACATTTTTTAACCCCCCTTTTAATAAAAAAACAAAAAAAAAATCCCTCAGCAATTTTTTAAAAACCCCAACAAATGTTTTTAAAAAAAAGCCCGAGTAAGTGGCCAAAAAAAGGTTTTAAAGGGGGGGTTATTTTAAAAAAAACTAAAAGTTTAAAGGAGGAAATTTTTAACTTTTGAAAAACCCTTTTTTTCCTAAAAGAATTTAAAAAAAAATGTTTTTTTGGTTTCAAACAGGGTTTTTTCTCTTTCAAAGCAAAAAAGAAAGGGAATTTAAAAAAATTCCCTAAGCCCCGTAAAAAAAAATACATGTAAAAAGGGCCTAAAAATTTCCCAAAAAACTTAATTTTAAAGGAAACCATTTTTTTCCCTTTTCAAAAAAATTTTAAAAAATTATGGGCCCTTTTAAATTAAAGGTCCAAAAAGAATAGGGGGGTTTAAAAAACTTTTTTACTAAAAGCAAAAACCCTTATAAACAAATTAAACAAAAATAAAAAAATAAAGCCCTGGGGGATCCTCGTGGGATTTTTTCAAAGCTGAGGTTTTTTCAAAACAAATAGATTGAAAAGGGCCAACCTTTTCCCCCCAAACTAAATAAGGGCCATACACTGGGCCAAAACTTTTTTTTGTTTAAAAGACAAATGGGTTTTTCAAAGACAATTTTACAATTTTTTTCCAGCACAACAAACCCAAAAAACTTTCAACCAAAAAAAATGTTTTTTTTAAAAAAAAAACTAACTTGAAAGTTTTTTTTAAAAACAAACCCCCAAAAAAATACATGTTTAAAATTTAAAGAACTTGTCCCCCCTTTAAATTTGGGTTTTAAATTTCCCTTTTTTTCCTTTTTTAGGCTAAAAAGGGGGAAATTTCCCCTTCTTTGGAACCCAAAAATTCCCCGGTTTTTAAAAAACCAAATTTCAAATATTTTCAAGGGGCCCGCCCCAAACAGTTGGGGGTTTTTGTAAAAATACTGCCAAATTGGAAATCGGGGAGTTTTTTGTCCAAAAGGGTTTGGGGGTGAAATTTTTTTGAAAAGGGGAAAATGGGGAACCCCTTTTCTTTTTAAAAGGGGGAAAAATTTAAAAAAAATTTTTAAAAAACCTTTTAAACATGGAAATTTAAAAAAAAAAAGCCCTTTTTCTTAGAAAAAAATAAAAAAAATGGGGGCTTTTAAAATAAAAATTTTTTTTCCAAAAACATTTTTTATTGGGCCCAAAATTTTTTTTTAGTAAAATGATTCAAAAAAAAAACTGGATTTTTATTTAAGGAAAAAAAAAACACCTTCTTTCCCAAAAGGGGGGGGGGGTTTTAAATAAAGAAATTTTTATTAATCCCAAAATGAAAAAAAGGGGAAAATCCCGATGGGGACTCCCGGGCCCCCCCCCCCCTGCCTGTTTAGGGGTTGGATTTCCTGGAAATAAATTATTCCCTATAAAAGCAGTGCTTAAATGGCTAAAAAACACACACAAGAGTAGCACTTTTGAAATTCTTATATTTGTTTAATACTTTATCTTTGCATTTAAGGAGTCACTTATAATTTTTAAAATTCTACTTTCAAGATTTGAAAGCCAAACATGGTTTGCCTTACCTTGTAAAACATTTTTTTAAATTAGCTTAACCCAAATAAAGCAATCTAATATAACAAAAATAGAAGAAAATATGCCAATGTACATGTACGTAAATATATCTATATACACAGTATATCTATTCCTTTTTAACAAATAATTGTCTATTACAATGATCATACAAGTTAATTTGACAATGATAAAGTAGCTAAAAATGCCATCTTGTGTGTTTCAGCCAAAGATAGAACTATAGTGTGTATCCACAGGTGGCAGTATCAGTGTTTGGACACCCACCCATATCTGCCCCTGGACCCCTACTACAACCCTGAAAAAAAAATTCAACACTAATTAAGGCTTACTATAAGGTACCAAATACAAAACCACCGATGAAATTATATAAAAAGAAATTTTTCCACTATCAAAATTATAGTTATAGAAAGGTGAAAAGCCTACTATATGTTCATTTGCCAAACAATGTGGAACACGGAAAATCGTCGTTTCGGCAACTGAGGTGCATTCCGAAGGCATTTTGCTGCATCATTCATTTACATCAATAAAAAGAACTTGAATTCCACAGCTTACATAATTCAAGTCCAACGAATATCAATATTACATCGAATTTTTCTATTTCACGGTAATTTTTAACTTGTCGTTGCCATTTTGGATTCTGATACCTGCGTGTTATACACTATCTGATTGGACGTCCAATTTGGCTCGTCCAATCAGACCGCGTATTTCAACCCAGGTATCAGACTGCAAAATGGCTACGACAATTCAAAAAATACCGTGAAACAGAAACAAGAGGGGCATGATGGCCCTGAGGTCGCTCACCTGTATATAGCCCCCTCCCCCCCCCCACACCCATAAGAAGATGTTTCATGCTAAACATCTAAGCTCTAGCTCATTGGGCTTTTTAAAAGAAGATTTTTTTAAGTTTTTACTATACACATATAGTTAAAAACAATGACACCCCTGGGGCGGGGGCAGTTTTGACCCCAGGGCTTTTATTTGAACAAACTTTGTAGACACTTACTAGAAGATGTTTCATGCTTAATATCTAAACTCTAGCTATTTTGGTTTATTCAAAGAAGATTTTAAGTTTTTGCTATACACATATAAGGAAAATCAATGACCCCCAGGGCGGGCCAATTTTGATCCCAGGGCTTTTATTTGAACAAACTTGGTAGACACCTATCAGAACATGTTTGATGCTAAATATCTTAGCTCTAGCTCTTTGAGTTCTTTAAAAAAAGATTTTTTAAGTTTTTACTATATGCATATAGGGAAAATCAATGACCCCCTGGGGCGGGGCCAATTTTGACCCCAGGGCTTTTATTTGAACAAACTTGGTAGACACCCATAAGAAGATGTTTCATGCTAAACATCAAAGCTCCATGCTAAACATCAAAGCTCTAGCTCATTGGGCTTTTTAAAGGAAGATTTTTTTAAGTTTTTACTATACACATATAGTTAAAAACAATGACACCCCTGGGGCGGGGCCAGTTTTGACCCCAGGGCTTTTATTTGAACAAATTTTGTAGACACTTACTAGAAGATGTTTCATGCTTAATATCTAAACTCTAGCTATTTGGGTTTATTCAAAGAAGATTTTAAGTTTTTGATATACACATATAAGGAAAATCAATGACCCCCAGGGCGAGCCAATTTTGACCCCAGGGCTTTTATTTGAACAAACTTTGTAGACACTCACTAGAAGATGTTTCATGCTTAATATCTAAACTCTAGCTATTTGGGTTTTTTCAAAGAAGATTTTTTAAGTTTTTGCTATACACATATAAGGAAAATCAATGACCCCCGGGGCGGGGCCAATTTTGACCCCAGGGCTTTTATTTGAACAAACTTGGTAGACACCTATTAGAACATGTTTGATGCTAAATATCTTAGCTCTAGCTCTTTGAGTTCTTTAAAAAAAAGATTTTTTAAGTTTTTACTATATGCATATAGGGAAAATCAATGACCCCCTGGGGCAGGGCCAATTTTGACCCCAGGGCTTTTATTTGAACAAACTTGGTAGACACTCACTAGAAGATGTTTCATGCCAAATATCTAAGCTCTAGCTCTTAGGGTTTTTTAAAAGAAGATATTTAAAGTTTTTTTCTTTCGGTTGCCATGGCAACCAGAGTTCTGCATGGAATTAAATTCTTTGAACAATTTTTAAAGGTGACCACCAAAGGAACAAGCCTGTGAAGTTTGGATGAAATTGGCCTAGTGGTTTATGAGGAGATGTCATTTAAAGTAAAAGTTTACGGACGACGGACGGACGACGGACGGACGATGGACGGACGCCGGACGAAAAGCGATCACAAAAGCTCACCCTGTCACTTTGTGACAGGTGAGCTAAAAATCGGAATGATAGTGATATTCGTTGGACTTGAATCAGATAAGCTGTGGAATTCTTGTTCTTTTTATTGATGTTAATGAATGATGCAGCGAAATCCCGCCGGAATGCGCCTCAGTCGCCGAAACGACGATTTCCCGTGTTCCACATTGTTTGGCAAATGAACATATAGTTGGCTTTTCACCTTTCTATAACTATAATTTTGATAGTGGAAAAAATTTTTTTTTATATAATTTCATCGGTGGTTTTGTATTTGGTACCTTATAGTAAGCCTTAATTAGTGTTGAATTATTTTTTTCAGGGTTGTAGTAGGGGTCCAGGGGCAGATAGGGGTGGGTGTCCAAACACTGATACTGCCACCTGTGTGTGTATCTACATATGTATTTAGAAGTTTTGAAAAAAAGAATTCTGATAAAACTATAAAGATATGGCTACACAACAGTGGAAAAATTAGAAAGTGGTATAGTAATCTTATTCTATCTAGCAGTACTATATGCTTTTTGCATATCAAGATATCCTGGTATAGAATCAACTCTATGGGGTGTTTCTTGCATCATTACCTGGTCGCCCAGGCACAGTCTTCTGGGCATGAGCTGGAGTTGGTGCTGAAGGTCTCACAGGGGCAGGGGACCCCTGTCCGGCTGCATGGGCTGGGGTAGGGTTGCCTGGTCTCATACCACTAGCAGAATGACCTACTTCACTGTACACTATACAGACACATACAACAATTATTCAAGATTACAGAAAAATTATTGTTATATCCAATAGTAGAACTGATTTCAGTCATCTAAAATTCTATATTGATCTTAACCCTTTACCTACTGAATTTTTATAATGCACATGTCCTGTATAGCATTTAATAGTACATTAACATTTTAAGAGAATTTATCATAAAAATATCAAAATGAGCAGATGACAGTTTTTAAAGAGAGTTTAGTCTAAGTGTATGAGTGTAAATGTTACCCTGGTTTGACATTAATGATACAGGCAAGTGATTATTGTCACTAATAGAATGGTTCATATTTCAATATGAACAAAACCATTCATTACTTTTCAGTAGAGACCATGACTTTGATCTGTACTTGCAGCAAGGGTATATTTGGTAGCCATCAGCAGGCAAAGGGTTAAATAGATAACAAGAAGAATGAAAAAAGTCAACAAAAGACACATTTTTATCAAATGAAAGGAATACTTAAAGAAAGAAAACTGTGAGAATCAGCTTTAAATAAGTTGAAATAATTCTTACTCAAGTTATAAACTAAAAGAAGTAGAAGAAGACACTGAAGAAAAAAAAACAGTTTTGTGCTATCATAGTTATTTGTGGTTGACATTTGTTAATTTATTTATTACAAATGTTTGAAGAAAAATACAAGTGTATTAGTACAAAAAAATGTTTTTCTAGTCTTATGTAAGCAATCAAAAGTCAAGCAAAAACTAATTTCAATTTCAATCAAGTTGCAGACAGAACTTGGGCTAAATTCCATGCAAGAAACATCTTTTGTTTTAAGTATGTTACATCATTTTCAGTGGCATGAAAGTTATCTAAATATCAAACATAAACCAGTCTTACTCAAATTTGAAATAATTCCTAGTTTCAAGCATGTATCCTGTATTAAAGTCAGTCTTATCTTGATTATCTTGATAGACTGCCTTAAATTTAAAATCTAAATCAGACTTGTAACCTATGTCAGATTTACAAGACTTGACTTCAAAATAAATTTATCATATCCACTGACCTTTATGACAATTCTATTTACTGATGAAAGGCAGAATAATTGTTTGCTAAGTTATATAACGAGTAAGTTCATTTTTAGAGTTTTTATTTGACTGTAGAAGGAAAAGTTGGAAAAATATGTCTATGTTGTAGTAAGAATAATATAAAACAATTTTTACCTGCAAAAGACATTGGTGTATCTGCAACAGGAACTTTTGGCTGATTGGTCACATCTGAATGACTGGACCTGTCACTTTGTGATGTCACTGGTGCAGTGGCTAATAACAAAAAATAATATGGTACTACAAGAATATGTCTCCTATGCAAGTCATAATCAACATATAGTCAGGTTTCATGAAGATGGTTATCTGTTATGTCCAAAATAGCAGAATAGCAATGCACCAATTCCCTGATTTTAAATCTCTCTGCATATTAATGTTGTTAAGTTAAATGATCATTGATGTAACACACAGCTTTATTTGAAAGTATGACAACCTTGATTTTATATAACAATGAGCTTACATCTTGCAGCTGGCATACCAGCACTACGTCTGTCTGGCTGAGACTGTGTACTCTCTGTTGTGTCACGTCTGATTGCCTCGGTACCATCACGTCGAGGGTCGTCACTTAAAAATGTCACTTGTTCATTGATGTCCTTTGCCTGAAAATAATGAAGTTTTTCTAACCATTACCATTGCAATGTAAATGAATATCAAAATTGTTGAAATAAAGTATGCATTGATGGGAAAGTTAGTTAAAATTAGCAAAGGTGGAGGTCTTTAGCCAAAGCACATTATTCATTTCAGAGATGATTATCACTTTCAGGTCTGTCTCTGACATGTATTTAATACACTTGATATATCTAATAGCAGGACTGTTTTTACTTAGAATCTAAATGTTCTTTGATATTTTTGTCATTGAAATTCCTGTCTCTGTACAGTAACTTATACAGAGTTCTTTCCATTATCTGTATACAAAGTCCACTAGAAAGATCAAGTTTTATTATATTTAAATAAAATTGTCACAAAGCTCTACTTTTTTCTACTCTAGCTAGCTGTTTTGATGACTTAAATGTGACATTATTGTAACAGTTTTTGCACATGTTTGTGTTCAGCTAACAAATTATGATCCCTGGGCTGCAAACTCATAATCGGTCACATGGCACTCATAATCAGTTGAAATCAAAGGCAATACTGTTACTATATATATATATAGTAACAAATGTATTAATGGTCTATATTATCAACACTCTGAAGAATAATTGTTGCTGAAAAGAGCAAAAAATAAGTCTATACCTGTGTCAGGAGAAAGGCCTTTCCAAACTCACTATCAAAATATTTTGGTATATTTCTATTTTTTAGAGCTTCTAATCCTTCTTTTTCTTCTGCCACTTCTCGCTCATCACGGTCCCAGTCAGCCTTAGTACGCTTAGGTTGTGGTGTTGGTGGGGGGCTGGCCTCAGGGGGTGTCAGGGCTTTCTCATACATCCTCTTCACATCAGCTGTTTGATCATACAATGTTAGTTTTGTTGTAGTAACAAAGATACATGTATATGCTGTAAAGCTGTTTACCAATTAAATCCAAATAACCAACTACTATGAAATACTCATCTGTATTTACTATTGTAAAACTAAAAAATATGAACAATCATTAAGACATAAAGAGTACAGTAGTCATTTTCTGTTGGTTTTTAAATACATTTGTCTGACTTTCATAGTGTAAATCATTTTTGCAGGAAATTTAGTATCTAGTATCTATGTGTAGTTTAGTTAATTGCTCACTTTGTCAATTTAAAGTTCAAAACATTGGAAAACACTGGATCATGCAACTGACAGGTAAATTCTTTTCATTTATTTAGCAATTATAATCTACCTTTTTCATAGTCAACAAGTTCATTATTAGCTTGAGCTAGTTGGTGAAGGTCAGCAGCATTGATTCGCTCCTCTTCTGTACGTGGATCTACAACACGCATATATTCTGCCATATCATTACGAGACTTCACATGCTCTGCATACTCTCGCAATCCACGTTGCATCCTATGTATAAATGTTTTATTATTTGTAAACAATCTGTCAAGAACAACAAGAGGGCTGTGATGGCCCTTTTTCTCTCATGTGAGTCTGATTTATCATGTTTATTTTATACATTCTAACAGAACTTGACAAAATTCAAACAAAACAGTGATTCCAGAAGGATTTGGCATTGTGACCTATCTTTAATGTGATCTGAGATATCATCAAAATACTCTATCTGACAAAGTTTGATGAAGAAAAAATGTGATGTATAACGATGAATTTGAAGCAAGAATAAAAACAGGATAGAAATGGCAAATAAACAATGAATCTACTTGAAGAAAATCAATTATTATTTATTGTTTATTATTTCCATGTATTTACTGAGGAAAATTTTTAACTTGAAAAAGAATAAACATCATAATATATTATTTAATCTTAAAGATAATGTTTGCTGAAATATAACTTACACATCTCTGAGGTTCTCTGACATTGGCTTATACTGGATAAGTTGTCTAAGCTCGAGGATGTTGGGACATTTTACTATAGGAATCTTGGACTGAGTCTTAACAGCAGCCCCAACTGAGAGGCCTTGACCTACATTTGTACCAAACTTTGGTCCTGCTGTCTTGAACTCCTTAGGTGGCAGAGTGGTAAGATCTCTGCATCTAATTCCTGGTGGAATGATCGACTCCTGATCATACTTCTTGAGCCAACGTTCTGAAGGACCACCAAAATATGGCTTGAGTACAGTGATTCCCACAACGCCTGGGAAGTCTGGTAGCTCGTCACGAAGAACAGCAGTAGCAGGACTTTGTTCAGCACTTGTCAGATACTCAGCTATATCTTGGTAGCGCATGAGTTCCGTACCAGAACCATCGCTATGAATTATAAAGAATCTTGGAGCATGCTCTTTGAAGACTGTCACTTTTCTGTCATTTCTTGTCACATCTTCACTACTGATATCAGAAACATCATCAGCATTGGAAGGAATTACACTAAAATCACCATTGTTTTTAACGTTAAAAACATTTCCATCACTGTCGACAGTTTCAACAGTAACATCAGCATTATGACAGAGCATGTAACGTATTTCACGGTCTGGCAGTAATTGCTCCATGTTTTTCAATGGACGTGGGAAGTATGTTAGCATGCCCTCAGTATCAACCTCAAGTCGGCCTCCATCAAAGTGGTGTAACATGTAATAACCATCTGGGAAAATGTTAACTGTTGTTCCATTACCAAATATTGTCAAATTTTCACTTGTCAAGCAATTAAACTCCACTGTAGCAAATCCTGGACATTCCACTTTCACAAACTTATTTGTCTGTACATCATATTCTTTGTCTAAAAAGAAAGAAAAATGATAAATTCATGATTTTCTATTTGAGAAATGATGCATGTTTTATATACAAGATTTCTATTATATTCTTCAATGCAAACCATCAGGATGCTTTCAAAAATATGCTTTACTTGTAATCTTTGTTACAGTATTGTTGATTGTATATCATAATAAAGTTTAAGAAGCCAAATTTGACCTTTGAGATAAATGGAATGTATATTTATTCAGGAGGTTTGATTTCATTTAAACTATTTAAGTACATCTCATGATATAAGATAATTAAAGACAATAGTTCAAATGGCACAAATGTAACTAAATGACAATAGATGAAAACAACAATTACCATCATCATCAGTTCCATTTTCACTAAGTGGAATCTGTGTTTCTCTGTAGTATGTTGTAATACGGGTACCATCAGCATGTTCCAGTATAGTAGTACCATCCGGGTAACTGACAGTCATCACATGATCATCACGTGTTGCCATCGACTATTTATAGATATATTCAGATATAATAAATCTATAACATATATGTGTGTGTGGCTAAATCTTAACATCTGTTTTCTTTACATTATCATTAGACAGTTCTAAATTGAAAGCATGACAAGTCTGTTATATTATATTAGTATGGGAAGTTTAAATTTTACAAACAAAATCAGTACCTGACTTGTTTCTGGATCTGAGGCCTGACTGATCATTACAGACTTGAGTTCTTCAGGTGGAGATCCCTGTGAGAACTTCATTCTCTCTCCACTTGGATATGTCATAATCCACACACTTTTCTTGTCCTCATCAACAGATGTCTCTTCTGTAGCCTCTGACTGTTGTTTACCCTTCTTTCCACTACGATCTGTACCACCTAATAAGTAGAGGATATTTTAATAACTTACAAACTGAATAAAAAAAAAAAACATGTTAAAATGTAACACATAAAGTTGGTAAACAGTCTGTCTTTTCTATAATTTTCTCAACTAATAATCATCAATTTATCCTGAGCAATTTATACTTTACTGAGACTGATGAGAAGATAAGAATTGTATTTGTATATTTGTGGATTAAAAGAGTGCTTTGGAAGTATACCAGTAGGCCAACAGCCATTATGTTTGTCCTCAACTTACAATAACATGTGTTTTGATTTTTTCCCTGAATAAACTAAGACATGATGATTAATATCCCATCTACCAGCATGTCCTACCAAAGGATTTAACAAAATAAGATGTGGAGACTTAATGCTCAAATTGGACTTTAAGAAACATACATGAAAACACAATTTTAAACAAACAGTAAACTTTGCTTATAGCAAACTCACTGGAACATTCAAATGTGTTCCTTATATCCAAAGTTGGCTGTAGTTAGCATATAATGACTTGATCCAGAAATATAACACATGAAAGTCTGTGACTGTTATCCCACTAATTTGGTACTAAAATATAAGCTCCTTATAAGTGATAATTCCTAAATATAACCATGTTTGCTATCAAGCTAGTTTTCATAATAAATAAAGAAAGGCAAAATTCAGACAAAAAATATTTTTTCTTTCTAACCATATTATAATTTGCAATAACAGTAAAGTTTAGTGTACCTCCTTTTTTGTCTTTAGTAGGTGTCTCTGGTTGACTTCTTCCACTGTTTTGTCTCTGTGGAGAACTTTCTCTACTTCGTGGAAGATCCCAATGACCTGTGTGAATGCTTACTGTGCCATCAGCATATAAAACCTGTAACATTTATCAAACTTCTATGTTATGACCACAAGCATAAGGCTAAAATTGACTTGTCTGTGCCACCAGCATATACTAAAGTCTGATTTATGCATGCAATGTAACAATTCTCTAAACTAATGCATGACACAGGCAAATTCCTTTTACTCAATTCTGACATTACACTCAAGTCAGAAATTCGTCACATTGACAAAGACAGTTGAAAATTGTAGGTAAGGATCATCATCATACAAATTTATCATACAAAAAGGTTTCATACCCAGTTTCATTTAACAGCATTGTATTCTTTGTAGTGATCTAAATTTTGCATTGCTTTAACTTAATTTCAAACTTTAATGACAGATATAGGGAAATGAAGCAAGTTAAATATATCTTAGTTGAAGCCTGGTTCAAAGTAACATGAAAACAACTCATACTTATGGAATGGTAAAATTATTAAATCTGCATTCAAACAAGTATAATGTTGAAAGTTAGAACCCCTTGACTTCTGACATTTGCAATTATACATATAATACATTGACTTACCTCTAAGGAGCCATCAACCATATTTTTGATGACCGTGCCTTCAGATGTTATCACTCTAGAGACCTCAGCTAGAGCATACTTCTTTCTAGCAGCTTCACATGGTTGGTGACCGTTTGTTTTATATGGATAACTCTGCTTCACCAGAAGTCGTCTATCATCCTCTGCTAGAGGTCGCATTCCAATATGACTCTCAAGGAAGTATTTAACATTAAGGCCATCAGGACATGAAATAAACAGTTGCTGGAAGGGCTGCTCAAATGATGGTTCCTCGGATTTAATATCTTCTTTATCATCAACATCAACCTAACAAAATTATAAAAAAATAAGTTACCACATACTTAAGTCCAAGACATTTCTATACCTTGCTGTATTACAAATCAAAATATACATGTATATCTCCAATATACAGTGTATTAGACTGTTCAGATAAAGAAGCAAGTTTTCTTTTTTCATTTTGTATATGTACTTTATTTTACCTTTAATATAAACATATTACCATATTATGAAACCTTTAAATAATCTGATTTTGCAAACAATTTTTAGCAGTATATCATTTGTATAATGATATTTATCTTAACATAACTTGACACATGTTTGCATATAAAGACTTGAAAATATGGAACTGTCCTAAGGGCTAGGGCAGGTTAAACAGTACATTTGACTATAATAAATAACATGTCCATAAAAGCTCTACTTGGTAATAAGAAAAAAATTTAAATTAATAAATATAATTGATAGTAGAATAAGGACAGATCTATCCAATAGTTTTGACATTATGTCCTATTGCCTAGAACTCAGGATGATGGTTACTTACAAGTATTCAAAGTTTAAAAGATATTCTTAAACAGGATAGTAAAACAGGTGTGGTACAAAAAACTTGAATAAAGTTCAAAAAGGGGCCTTTTTGGGTCAAAATTATTGGCAAAGTTATGTTCTCTTGTCAGGACATAATAATAAATAGCAAATATTCAGATCTTAGATTAATAGATAAAAGGTAAAATATAACTGTTAGGTGGTAAAAAATGTGGTCATAAAAATATTCTAAGTTTCAAAGCAATACATCAAAGGGAGTAGAAAAGAAGTGTGAAAATAGGAAAAACTTATTAAAAAGTGTGACACTGACACTGTCAACAAATTTGCTCATTTCATATATTAAGTATTTTTAATTGATAAAAATAAAAAAAAAGACTAAAAAAAACACAATCTTTAAAAATAAAGAACTATTGCTACCAGATTATTGAATATTTTGTTGAAAACACTTGTTTGAAAAATCAGCAAATCACACCAACAAGCTAAGTACTGACAACCTGAGCTAATGAGCCAACCTGCAAGGTCTAACTCTATACTGTAAGCTGCTGTATTTTAGCAATTTATAGCAATTTGAAATCTAACAATGAACTGCAGGACATGTTTATAATGCTATAGCATGGCAAATCTGTAGAGTTATTACCAGCAATGGTATCATATTGTGATAATGTTTACGCCAGACATGAGAAACATGGACATTGATGAAAACATAATAAACATTGTCAGAAAATAAACAAATCAAGCTGAAGCTGTTGATAACATACAGGTATACAAACTTGAACATCAATATATGTCATAGATAAAACTACAATTTGCTGTAATTGTGGGTATATATAATATAAACAAATAGGAAATGTGACAAGTCATGTTCTCACAACTAGTCTAAAGTTTGAGACAACAGTGACAGTTTTGGAAAGCTTCAATAAAATCTGCACACAAGTTTTGTAAATTAAGTTAGAGAAATGGACTCACAAACAGTGTGAAAATGATATGCCATTTCAAGTCTTTAACAAATAGTTTCTTATTAAAGACAGCAAAATTTAGCTATATCACGTTCCATGCTTTATGAAATTGATTTGTTTACAAATATCGCTAGTATTGGGTTCAGTGTCACTTTATATGACCTGTCATGTGACCCTGTTTCATACAATCTCAACAAGGGGAAATTGTTAGCCATATAATACCATCAATTATACACTTTTGTTTTGTTTTGGGGAAGTATTACATGTTAAGTACATCAAGAAAAAGCAGTATATTAGAGATACAATAATAGCTTTCTCTCTTACCAATGTCACTCTATGTGACATTTTACTCTGCATGTCTACTGAGTGACTTGTACGACTCTGATGATCAGTAACAATAAAGTTATAATGGTTTATATGCTTAACATTGAATATTTGTATAATTATAGTGAATACATTGATTCCATATTTTATAAAACTAAATACAGACTCTCTCCAATTAACTGTTACAAACACACTTTGACCTTTGCAATGCTATTTAAACTGGTGCTCTGTTCTTGACTAATTTAATTCTGTAAATGCTTACTTATGAACACTAACATACACTTAATAATGAATTAAATATTTTGTTGTTGTTTTATACTGTATTGAATTAAGCTAATTCAACTTTCAGGTGGAGAAAGGCTCACACACATTACAAATACCAAACTATACATGCATTTCATTTTTTCACCAAAAGTGATCCCATTACACACACTTTTTTTCAAAATGGGCATAATTATTAAAAGTTTATCTATAACAAAAGGCAGGTGTTGCACATTACATTAAGCTTTTTCAATTTCACTGATTGGATCATTATCAGTGCTGCATAACTTTTGTGACTGGAGAATTAGTTGATCCCCTTGAACTGACTACCACATTGCTGATTTATCTACTATTATAATGACCATACTATAATAAATGTGCTCTCTACAGAAAGACTAAAGCTTCATACAAGAAACACACAAAAACGTTCAACATGAAAGTATAATAATACAGTGAAGACAGTAAATATCACCATGTGTCATATATCTCTTACATGTTGAGATTTAACTTACTTCCTCATCCTTAAGAGAAAAACACACAAAAAACATGAAAAAATGTAGATTCAAACAATTTACAGTATTTTTGTCTTGAAATGTTTTATTTTAGTGATAACAATGTAAATACAGACTAAAACTAATCCATTTACTAATGTACATGTTGCCATTATCTGCAATAACTATATTATAGTTACAAACCTTAAACAAGAGCACCGCTAGGCGGAGCATTATATGCCCGAAAGTGTTTTTTTTTAGTAAGGATGAAGCATTCATTAGACATGGGAATTAGCTGTTCATCCTATAAAATTTTACAGATGTAGGTTGATTAATACTTAAGTCATTAATAATGACCTTAACCTTTGACCTTGTGACCCTAAAATCAATAGGGGTCTTCTACCTTATATGGACAATCATCCTATGAAGGTTGAATATGTGGGTCAAATGGAACTTAAGTTATGCTCCGGAAACTGTTTTCAGTATCAAGGTAATAGTGACCTTGACCTTTGACCTTTTGACCCCAAAATCAATAGGGGTCTTCTACTTAATATGGACAATCAACTTATGAAGTTTGAACATTGTGGGTCAAATGGAACTTAAGTTATGCTCCGGAAACTGTTTTCTGTATCAAGGTAATAGTGACCTTGACCTTTGACCTTGTGACCCCAAAATCAATAGGGGTCTTCTACCTAATATGAACAATCATCCTATGAAGTTTGAACATTGTGGGTCAAATGGACTTAAGCTATGCTCCGGAAACTGTTTTCAGTATCAAGGTAATAGTGACCTTGACCTTTGACCTTGTGACCCCAAAATCAATAGGGGTCTTCTACCCAACATGGACAATGATCCTATGAAGTTTGAACATTGTGGGTCAAATGGAACTTAAGTTATGCTCCAGAAACTGTTTTCAGTTTTAAGGTAATAGTGACCTTGACCTTTGACCTTGTGACCCCAAAATCAATAGGGTCTTCTACCCAATATGGACAATCATCCTATGAAGTTTGAACATTGTGGGCCAAATGGAACTTAAGTTATGCTCCTGAAACCAAATTGCTAACGGACAAATTGCTAACGGACGGAAACTGTTTTCAGTATCAAGGTAATAGTGACCTTGACCTTTGACCTTTTGACCCCAAAATCAATAGGGGTCTTCTACCCAATATGGACAATCATCCTATGAAGTTTGATAATTGTGGGTCAAATGGAACTTAAGTTATGCTCCGGAAATTGTTTTCAGTTTTAAGGTAATAGTGACCTTGACCTTTGACCTTTTGACACCAAAATCAATAGGGGTCTTTTACCCAATATGGACAATCATCCTATGAAGTTTGAACATTGTGGGCCTGATGGAACTTAAGTTATGCTCCGGAAACCAAATTGCTAAAGGATGGAAACTGTTTTCAGTATCAAGGTAATAGTGACCTTGACCTTTGACCTTTTGACCCCAAAATCAATAGGGGTCTTCTACCCAACATGGACAATGATCCTATGAAGTTTGAACATTGTGGGTCAAATGGAACTTAAGTTATGCTCCGGAAACCAAATTGCTAACGGACAAATTGCTAACGGACGGACGGACGGATGGACGGACGCCAGGGGGTATAACATAATATGCCCTTTCGGGCATATAAAAAACAAGTGAAACTGCATTCAATACAAAGTTTTCAATTTTGTTTTTTTAATATCTCATTAAAAAACTTTCTTTACAATAACAGGGACATGATTTCAGTAAGAAATGTACATTATTATTAGCAGAAATACTTGTTTTATTACAAACATTAATTTCAATTCAAGCCTTGTGTGTCGCAAGGTAGTTTACATTTACCTATAAAAGAAAAGGCAACGTCTATTGAGAGTTTTCATTTGATAATACATCAATATCTAAACTTAAAAAATGAACAAACACCAGTCATTTATATTGTTGTAATTATTATTGTTATTTTTATTGTTGATATTGTTGCTGTTGTTTTTGGAAGAGAATAATATTTTAATAGACATAAAGAATTATATACCTGAGGTTGAGGTGGAGGTTCGGGTGTGGCTGATGTCCTGCCTCCTTTATCTCCTTTCTTGTCTCCTTTCTTATTCTTTGATGGTGATGGTGGTGGTACAGGGCTCGGATCTGTCAATGGTGGTGAATATGGTTCAGGCTCATACTTCTTACCTGAATTTGTAGAAAACTATTATAATATTGTGAATTCTACCTTAGTACAATGTCATGTAGATACATTTTCATAATCTGTTCAAAATTAATATCATCAAACAAATTAATGAGGTTGATTTAATTAAACTTTACAATGTAATAAGTGATAATGGAATTATAAATATTCTAAAAACCTTATTTGCTAAAGGGAAAAAATGTAAAAAAATAAGAGAGGGAATATAATTTACAGAAAAAAAATCATGGTTGCAATCATACACCATATAGATAAATATTGATGTTGAAAAATAATCAAGTTTAGAGACTAATCTTATTAAATTAAAATAATATAGCAAATATATTACAACTGAAATGTATATAATTAGAAAATGCATCAACAGTTTACACCAAAGTAAAAACCAACTGAAATTAGCCCTTGTGAATCACACCTGTGGGGAATCATAATGAAACTGTAGTGAGCCAATTTAGTGGATCAGTTACATTACCTATGACAGGACAAAGGTTTCCATTCTCACAGTTTTTTGAAAAGATGTAATTTACAACAGTGTTGATGAGAGCCATTCACATTTCATATTGCAAAGAAAATGTAAAAGCAATTTTAGTTAATGGATATCCAAAACTATTTTACAGCTTTACAAATGAAAGGGGTGAAAATAACAAATATGAGTTCAATGACAGAAAAAATAAGCCAACACAAAAAGCAAAAAAGTTAGAGTTTACCATCTGGAGCTTGGCCTGTTTCTCCAAACTGGCTGAGGGCCAACATCATTCCATCATTAAAGTTTGCTGTCACAGAGCCAAATGCGCTTACACTAGATGTCTTGCATTTTCTTTTACTTGTTGTTGATTTGGATTGTCTGTCTGAGAAAACACTCTCTCCAACTAAAAAAACAGCAAAACATTCTTTAATTTACAATTAATACTTGCATTTCAACTGCCAAATCTAATAAACAGCTTGCTGCATTGTAATACTGTTTTCATTTAAAGTAAATCTTTACTCTCTGATGTTTGGAGAGATTAAACCCCACTTTAAGAATGACCAAGATGTTTATATTCTACAATCACCATCTCAAGAAGCCCAGCTTGCTCCTTGAAAGACGGCTTTAAATGTCTGAGTTGAAATATAACAAACAGACTGTTTGACTCAAAGTAACTGTGACCTACTTATGCAACCCACTGCCATTTAAACAACTTTGATAAGTTAACAAGTAAATCAAGAGAAGGAGAGAACACACGTCAAACATCAGGGTGGTTTGTAACTGGTATATTCTAGGATGGTCTTTCAAGACCTTTATCAGGATATATTTCAAAGAAATATGATTACTGAAGTACTAAAAAAGAGGTTACAGAGTGTGACGTATGTTACTATAAATAGACATATAAATGAGTTTTTTCTGGGCAAAGTGCCAAGTTATTTTTCCATATAAAATGTTTCAAATGTTGGATAACCACAGATCATATCTATGTCAATGACCTTTTTACAGCATAGTTTAAGTGTTCATATTCACCTAAAATAATTGTTTTGCATAAATGTAGTTCTAACTCTTAGAAGTCTTTCTAAGTCTTAAGTTGATTATAGTTACTGAGGAGAAATTAGTTGGTTTCAGTATTAACAAACTAAAATTCTTCATTTTTATGGGTAAATATGTAGACTTTAGTTGAGATTTCCTGTGGTTGTTTCCTTTAATTTTAAAATAGTATTTTTTTAGGAAAATTCTAAGTTCAAGGGGAGATAAATCTGAAAATATTGGTGCTAGAGTTATGAACCTTGTCACATAAGATGTGGTTGATGATAAGGAACATATATTTGAAGTTTGAAGTTGATACCTTAAGAAATGACAAAGTTATAGTGAAAATATTTTACTGCACCAAAATCTGAAATCTGGACGCGGACGCCGACACCGGGGCGAGTAGGACAGCTCTCCATATACTTCGTATAGTCGAGCTAAAAATTACAAGTAAAATAGAACAATTGGCAAAGTAAAATATACTTAAACTTACTGTCCTTATTTTCTTTCTCTGGTTTTTCAAATTCTGCCTTTTCTGCTCCATCCCTAATTACACCATCCATGTCAAGGTCACTGTCATCTGACTGATTTTCCTTGGGGTCAAGGATATGTACAGTAAAGATATGGTCATCTTTCAGCACTGAGGTCTTCACACTAGATGTACCTTGAATGTACTCTATTTTTTCAGTTCTGATCTGACCACCATCTGATGGAAATAATGTTGATGTGATACCAGACACTTGGATTAAATTATTGCCAACATCATAGCCAGAGAACTGAAATTGTAGTTATAAAATATTCAAATAATGAGAGCATATCTAATGATGATAACGACTTGTAAGTATACTGTTGTCTGTTCACTGTCATATTTTGATACCAAAATCCAAAAAACTAGGGACAGTTCTAAAATCAAAGCAGATAAAAACATCAATGTAAGGGTTTGTTTTTTATTCCAATTTGGTACTTTTGACTTTGATTTGAAAAAATAAATGGTATAATATACACTACATGTAACATGGTTACCGGTATAATAAGTTAATTCACAAATTATATAACTAGAACATGTATAGTTTATATGTTATTTGTTTACACTTGAATACTTACAGGCCAATATTTTTCAGCACTCAGTGGTTCTAGGTCTGCAGCTGTAGCTTCTGGTTCCTGGTCTCTAGCAGAGCCTTTAGACTTTGCACTGCCACGAGAACCAGGCCTTTTCTTTGGATCCTCTTTTTCATTCTGTGAGATCAGGTAATGTGACAAGTTTAAAGATGGTATGAAATAGGGATAAAACTGGTATGTTCATATGATAACTACACTGGTTTTATACTAAAGCAATGTGCCTGTAACACCATTATTTCAGGGACAACATAACATAGAGGAAACCAATGGCCTATGGTTACTATGCTTAATACGGATAAAATTCAAAACGCCAAGAAGTATTAAAACCAAAAGAGAAATGGAAAAATTATTCAGTTATGCTTTAGTATATAACCAGTGTAGTGATTTTCAACATTAAGAGAAAGAGCAATTTCATACACATTATATTAGTTGGATTAATCTTAATTATACATTTAGATTTAGGTAAGTTTAATGTAGATTTAATTGGAATAAAAACATCTCAATGTCATGATGTTGTTGTATGACTTTCCAATTTAATTAACAGTTTAAATAATTCTCATTAAAACGATACTTATAAGAAGGTGACCAACCTTTGACTTGGGGGATTTTGACCTTTTAGCGCTTTTCACTCTTTCTTTTTCTTCCTCCTCAGATTTTATTTTGTCTTGCTCAATCTTCCAGGCTTTCAGTGACCCTTCCCTGATGAACATGTTACCAGACCCAGCCGAGGATGGCCGTTCCTGGCTGCTTCCTCTTGAACCTTTTGGAGACTTTGAACGTGAAGCTTTTAAAACAAAATTACAATTATCAAAAATATTATAATATTGTGGTGAAGTAATCGTCTGTTGGATGGACTTAGTTGGATGGATTTAGTGTTAGTACACCCATAAGTAGATTATTCATAAGAAAATTTTTCAAAAAAGTAATGTTTATATTGAAAAAGTTTCAAAAGAAATTGAGGCTGGAATGTTCATTTAGTGACAATTAACCTTAAAATGGTATTACATTACTATATTTACATGAATGTTTCTGGGCAAAAACTTTATTTTAAGAAAAACTCTTGGCAAAATATGCTCTGCTTTCTGGACAGCAAACCTTTTCAAAAGACAAAGACAAAAAAATCAGTCTAAAGTGTGCATATGATTTATCACTTCAAAGTAATTGAAGAAAACCACTCAAGATCTATGAAATTTCCATTGACCACACCCCCTGTGCATAAATTACCTGATCTTGGAGATGATTGGTTACTAGTACCATTACTACTGCTCCTTTTGCTGCCTTCTTTTTACAAAATATATGTTTTTATATCATATTTGACATACTGCCCATAATTTAAGCATTTAAGCAGAAGATGTTGATTGTGATGTACTTACTTTAAAGTAAAATTCTTTTTGAGTCAAAGGTTAAATAGCCAAAATATTCCTTTCTAGATTTAACAGTAACTGATAAATTTCTATTCAAAAGTAACTCATCCCTTTTAAAAGATGTTCATGCTATAACTGCTGACCAAAAATTAGCTTTTGATTCTGATTTAAATACAAAAAAAACTCCATCACCAGTCAAAAACTTAACCTTCTGTTTAAGTATTACATATAGTTTTCTGCTATAGACTATTTCATTATAAAATCCTACCAATTCCGCCTACAGTTGCTTACATTTGATAAGTGTTTCATAATGACAAATATTCAAAAAATGTTGAGAGTCTTATGTATATTTGTTGTGACCTATAAAAGATTTAACTTGTTGGCCACAAGTCCTTGATTTTTTCTCTCAGACAAAGTAGTAGGATACAATAGTACATAAGAATGTGATAACTTACTAGCTGATCGTTTAGCTCCCTTCTTGTTTGCCCTCTCCGAGGCTCTGCTAGCTGCTTCCTCATCCAATCTCATTTTGTCTAGTTCCTGAGACAGCATGTGAGCCTGGTACTTGGCCTCTTCTTCCTTCAACCAATCAGAGATACCCTCCTCAACAAAATCAAGATAGTTCCTATAAATAATAACACATTACAATAGTTAAAATGTGCTAGAGCTAAGTCTCCACACTGTCGATTATTAAGAGTCAAGATGGTATCATTGGTTGAGCAAGATTTTGTTTAATGAGTTTACTTTACTGCTTGTAGAAAAATAAGATAAACAATACTGGTCAGGGACCATCAACCGGACACTTTTTGATCATTTTTCTATACAAATTTCATAATTTTAAAGCTAGAGGTACGAAAATTTGATACAGTACAGCTAGGTTCTTCTCCTAACTAACAAACTAGTTTGTTAAGTTTTGATTATGTTGACACTTATATCCGAGGCCCGTCAAGGAGGGTATCAAAATTACATAAATTGTACATACTACAGTACCATGTGTCCGGACAGATATGTAATAACGTTGATTTAATTCAGATAAAAGCTTTGGTGTTCTTTTTTTTATTTTTAACATGACACACAATATTTCAGCAGCAAATGCTGAAGTTTTGGATATTTTTTTGTTTACTCTGCTAATAATTATTGCTGTTATATGAGGTCAGGCATTGCTGTCTTGACCCCCAAATTTCAACGTCAACATTCTTGAAATAGACATTTAAATATTACCATTTACGGAGGTTGAAATAAATTTATTTACTTAATTTTAGAAGAAACATGCATTTATTGTTGATAAAAAGGTGACTGACAACCACTGAACAAAGAAAATTCTAAATCAAGCATTTTCGGGGCCGTCCGGGTTTGGTGGTTGTCCGGTTTTGGTGGTCCCCAACCAGTAGCCAGAATCCAGGAATACCTAGTAAAGTCATTGCGAATTGGTATATTATAATAGTTATTAAGTTTTGACATGTTATATGATGTAGTAACTGCAGTGTAACTGGTTGTTTATAATCTGAGCTGCTATGCATGTGTTATACAGTCTTTATAACTTATTTATATTATAGCACAATTAATTTCTCTGATTAAATAAAATGAACACAACTTGCTTATTTTCAGAAGCCATTTAAGTAAGTAATATAAACATCAGAATAATCCAATATTTATCTATTTATAAAGTATTGATATTTCACTTAATAATTTTTTTCACAAGATTTACCTGAATCCAACATTAGAGTGTAGTTCAGTGTGCCAGTCTTCATGATTCTGGAACTCTGGATTATGTGGGTTATGTAAAACCACCATCAAAGAATGGTCACGTTTATGGTAATACGTATCTACAAATGGCAGCTTGTACATTGCATCCTTTAATACCTGCAATATTGTTTAAAAAAATCATCAACAAATATCCTGATATTTGTTTGTTTGTGTGATTGGGTTTTATGTCAAGCCAACTCAGTATAAGTCAAAATATCCTAATAGTAAACAGTAGATTTAACCTTTGGTCAGAGTTATACCAGTCTGTGGTCAGAAGATCAATATGTGGTCAGAGTTGAGTCAGACCATTTTAAACTCTATAATGTCAGTTACAATAATGATAATTAATTAATAATCAATATTGAAATCTCTATTCCTTACAATAAAAAGTTCCAAATTCTATATAGGAAAAGTCATTTAAACTAATTTAGTCAGTAAGAGTAAAATAGAAATAAATGCTAGACAACAAACCTGAAGTAAGACTTTATTTTCATAATGTTCAGCAAAGCACCATTGATCAAGTTGACGTTTCTGAGCATCTACAATCTCATTCATACTCTCTTCTGTTGTCTTCCCTTCAAGAATCTCCACTTCTTCTTCACCTCTTTCATCATCAACAACATGTGCAATTGTATGACCTTCCTTGTCTGCCTCAAAGTGAACTGATAAAAGAAAACAAAACATATAAGGTTATGGTATAAGCAACAAAAATCTATCGTTGGGGTTACTGGTAAAGTATTTTCTTATCAAAAACTACACTGCATTTGAACTGTATTGGTATGAAAATAGTCCTAGCTCAACCATTCTATATTATTTATTTATCAACTAAAACTATTTCATGTCTACAATGATTATTGATTCAATATGTTATTTTGTTGATTGATATTAATCCAAACAGCATCAGACTATGATGCATGTAGGGAAGATAAATACATTAATACTTGTTTTTTATTTATTTGAAAAAAATTTGAAGTAATAGAAAAAATGAGCAGACTAATAATTTAAACAAATGTCATGAAAAATGATACAAGCTTAACTGAAGTAACTAAAAATTTTTTAACTTTTATCACTTCATAATATTTTCAGCAGATATAATTATTCATGACTATACAACTATGGTATGACTGTATAGTTTGAATGTGACAATGATTAATAAATTATGCTACCAGTAGACTAGAGTATGGCATGCCTGCAATATTGTACACTTAGTGAACAATCTTCTGCTTGATGTTATCATTTCTATTATATAACCTATGGTGGCTCACATTGTAAGCAGTGGATAACATAAAAAATGCCTGTCATATTTTTGAATCTTCAACCTTAAAGTCCCGCCAGCATGGAAACACAAAAATAAAACACTTATATGGCACAAAATGTTAAAACTTTTCAGATGCTGTTCTATTCCCTTCTTTTTTTTTTGTCTTGTACTGGCGGAAGAAAAAGGTCTGAAAATGATAAATGGTTACTTTGTCATATTTTTTAACATTTTTGTTTAAGAATTTTGACCAACACCCTCCCCCTCCAAAAAAACCCATAAAACATGCTTATAATTATGTCATGACATAAATCAGCCATCACAGAAACAATTTATAATTAACATATAGTTTCATATTTCAGGCACATAAAGAGCATTTTACAAAGCATTTACAAATTTAGCATTTAAAAAAAAAAAGGTGAAATCTAAAATTTAATTGACTATACACACACACTGTACACACTAGGTATGATTAAACTTACTATCAAACTAAAATGTTTATAATATGTTGTTTCTAAAAATTATAACTCAAATATCAGTAGCGTCTAAAGTCATGGAGAATTTTCTGTGCCAGTTTTCTGAAGTCAGAGGTGACTTTAAATGGAAATTCAATGTAAAGGCAAATATAACCTACAGGAAAAGCAGTATGATATGAAACAAGTACTGATAACTTTTTGAAATTATTGGATATTCAAAATTACTGCAAAGCACTGAAAAAGAAATCGCATCTAACACACTTCTTTTGGGGTGATAGCTGAAATTGTTACCTAGCTTTAAATGACAGAGAGACACAAAAAAGAGCATCATAATCACTGCTGTGAGTTTTTTGTTTGTTTTTGCTCTGCCTAATGTTCATTCTTTTTGTATAAAATAAGTTCTTTTTCAGCCTTAAGTAACATCTATAGTATGCTATATGCATAAAATCTGGCTGACATGCACTTGAGTGCAATCTGGTTAGACTCTTTACTGTTGGCTCTCCTTAATTTTTACCTTTTTTTATACTTTTTTACACTGAAATCCCTTAATCTCTTAATGGACAAAAAAACAATTTAAAGAAGACTTAAATTGAGCACCATACAGCATTGTGCATTGACATTTATATAATGTAACTATTATAAAGCAAAAAGGATACCCATAGGTAAGTTGAAATTTCATATCATCCTAGGTGTTTTAAACATAGTTCAAACTAAAACTCCTAGAACATAATCAAGTATTCTGACCTGATTATAGTGTTATTACAAACCAAAATCTATCAATTTTTCATTTTAAAGAAACAAGTTGTTGCACATCTAATTTACAGTCTCATATTCATGTATTGCTTTTTAATTACAAGAATGTATTGACATTCTCTGAAACAAATTTATATCCAAGTATCAATAATTGTACAACCTGTAATAAGGGATGATCCAAAATAAAGTTTTACTGTTACTTGTTATATAATACAAGCTATCATGTAAAATATAACACATTGCACACAATTTACTTGTATTAAAACATTTATAATAAAAAAATACAGATTTTATGAATATTGTTTTCTTTTCTTTTTTGTGTTTTATGTGCTATTTTAATACTGAGTTTTTACGTTTACTACTATTTTAAGAATTCAATTGTCATATTGACCGACGATTATAAGTAAAATCTTAACTGGAAAAAGTCAGTAAATTATGGTTAATCTTTCAATATATAATATTGTTTATTCTTAAAACCATATTCATGTACATTTGTATTTTTCTTTATCATTTCTTAAATTGTCAATCAATTGAATAATTCATAAAATCTAATTTGTAACTTTGAATAACTCCTCGGCATCTTTACTAAACACGAATAACAAATTAAATAAAATGTTTCAAAGTTGATAGTGTCATATAAATACCATAAAAATGTACCTTTTTTCTCAATTATTGTACATATTTATTGTTTTTATCTCATATAGATCAAATAAAACATGCTATTGTTGTTGTTGGTTTTTTTTTTCCGAATTGTATGTTTATGTATAATAATAATCAATAAATTTGAGAGTTGATCTGTCTTTATTAATTATTGTAACCAAACTAAGTGACAAACATTCATTTTGAAAAAAAAACTTATATAACTGTAAAATATTTGTTCTGTTCTGTAACGATATCAAACATCTACTCCAAAACCAGGAGAGACCGGACAATAAACGTGTGGTACTATTCGCCGGTCACTAGTAAATCCCGGTCAAAATAGACCAGGAGAGACCGGGAATTACCGATAGGAGTACATCCCTCTATAAATAGATTTTCGGAATATTTAGGTCATCAACTCATCATTCTATTCAGCTTTCGGATACATGTACCATAATAACCCACTGTGTACTACAAAATGATTAATAAAAATACCCCGAAGAGCGCGATTTATTGACGGAAAAGGTTATTTCATTTGAAAATGTTTGCATTGCAAAATTCTCCAGTTTGCTATTCATTGTATATATCGCGACATTTCATTTTTAATTAATAATCAAGCACCCTCATACTGATCGGAATGATCGGCTTTTATTATGTCCGACTAAAAGGCTCGAGAAGTTGCTGTCGCCCTTTCACAAAATCTGATTTCATTCCATAAAAGGCGCCGCGCTTCGGCGCGGACGCCAATAATACACATCACAAAAAAAACAGTGTGTGCATTAATTACCATTGTAACAGCACTACATTGGGTGCTTGCAACATTTATTAACCATATTATTTCATTGAAGCTTATCTTAACTGATCAAATGTTCTGATTTATGACAGTATATCATTTACTAACTTTTAACTGCTTTTGTTTAAGCAAAAGTCAACATTTTGTTTGGATCATCCCTTGTATGTTAATGTTGAATGAAATATTAATATTATCTACTATTATTATATATGTAAAAAAAGAATGAGATGTGAATATAAAACAGGCATGATACATTGGCATAATAAGTTTTTTTCACTTTTTGGTTCATATTAAAATAATTGGTGTTTTTCTATATTTGATCAAAGTTATACATTACCTAAGATTATATAGTTTATGGAACTTATAGTAGAATAGAAAAGATGGTAAAGAAGTCTCATGTTGAATGTACATACATTAAGGAGGAAAAAAATGTTAAATATTCTACAAGAAGAGTAATGATTTGCTACTAAAGGCATTAAGGCATAAAATGAAAAGATGTAATCATAGAAATCAATGCCTTAGAATTATAATGTCATATCTGTGAGTTTATCATATCTCTCACATACAAACTTATCATATTATGGTATTACAGGTAAGACCTTGTTAAAAACTAACTCATCCTACTGAAACGATTAATTTATCCTCAATTAATGATGCCCATATCACATCTTACTTTTACCCCATCTTTATCTCTTACATCTAATATCTCATATATGGCCCTGACAAACTTGTATTATAAATATCTCACTAATACCCAAATCATATCTCACTTTTGACCTCCTGATATTTAAATCAAGCACTTTTTCACTTTTTATATGTCAGTTACAAACTGCCTGTAATCAAATGTATGACCTTATTATATTTTACTAAGGCTCTTACAATATCCACTAACAGGCTTAATATGATATCTAATTTACCATAATTATACCTCACTGACTATATCTCACTTGCTCACTTATCATATTTCATCAATAACCATTTTATACCTCATCTATCCCCTAATCATATCTCATAGACTTGCCCATACCATAATTAAATACCTCACATCATAATCATGTCTCATACATACATTATATCTCACAATTTAATCATACTTCATTATGTTATGTTTTTTACCTTAATTTATCACTTATATGAACTTATACTTCTAAGGCAAAGAAATAATAAAGATATATAAAAGTTGGTGCAGCAGCTGTAGGAGGGCAAATACGATCTACCTGACAGTTTGTCTTCTTGATCAGCAAAATGTACTGAAATATTACCGCAACAATGAGCTATATCTACTTTTACTGTATCTCACATACAACAATAACATATTCTAATACCATATTCTAAAAAACATAAACTAGACAAGTCTAAAACTATAACTTTGTTTATTGATGACATTGTAAATAAAATTGCAGAGAATGTAACTGCACAAGGCATTCATGAGGAGTGGGAATTTCCTACTTTGTAAAATATGTGTGACAATCCTGTGGTCATAAACTTATATTACTCTGATTGTATGGTTTTAATCTTCTTAGTTATATTAAAGATATTTAGAGGTTGACTTCCAAACTTTCTAGTGTTCAGTTAATAGTTGAGGACGTGTTCTTTAAGTATAGTAAGTATACCCTCTGAATCATCACAGTAAGCTACATTGAATTGACCAGAGCATAGATAAGCTACCACATTGTTCCTGGGAAGACTGTCAAGCAGTTTACCAGTACCATATGTCTGCATTTTTGAAAGGAACTGGTAACTTCTGTACATACAAGAGCAGAGGTACAGTGCAAATGACCATAGAAAGGACTTCATGCTCAATCACAACAAAAGTGACCTGCACCATCCGGGAATCGAACCCAATTGCACAATTCACATTCCAACTCTCTACCTATTGACTTAACCATATTGTTGTTGCAATTGTACAAAATATTATATTAATGAATTTCAAAATAGTGTTTTCTTTACTCAACATTGATTATATATATCATAAGATTTTTAGCCATCAAATAAAACTGTCAAACATCTTATTTGGACAGAAAATGTATAGATAAATAACATATTATATTTTGTTCCTTTAGTCACCAGCTACTGTAAGCATGGATGAACTGTAGTTTCATACTTTATGGTAAGCTGATGCTATTTCAATACTGTAGCCAATACAATAACAATGGTCATATAATAGAACATGCAACACAAAATTTAGTCACACATGCATCTTCTGTTAAAACAACATTTTATCCACAGTGAGTGTTATTTCATAGGAATCTGCCAGCTATAAAAGAACTAGTCATTTACCATAGTTCAAGTTCATAAAATTATCTAGTTTCCAGCATTATAATTTTTAATAAAATTTTCTGGATGTAAAATAAAAATTTGTATAACAAATATGAAATAACATCCTCTCTGAAAATTCACAGTAAATGTTAAGAACATTTCTAAAATACAACATGTTAAACAATAAATAACTTATCGGTAACCATGAAGTGAGGTGTGATAATTACAACAGAAAAATACACATGGATTATAAAACTACCTGATACACATGACAAACTGCCATGTTTCCCTCCTGCTGAAATAACATGTTACCACAAATAAATAACAAGCGTGAAGAATTGAAAAACAAGAAAATCTTGATGTTATATCCTGTAAAAATGAGGGAAGTATGAGTTGGGGTGTTACTAGCAATAATTTAGATTTAATCTGTACAATACAGGAATATATTCAGACAAGTACTCAGCTATCAAATATATATTGGACAAGCCATCAGGCAAGTCTAATAGTGTGCAAGTCGAAATATACATGTATCATGTCCAGAATAATGTTAAATGACCTTTTATTTAAATCAAAAATATACAAAGGAAACCTAAAGTATGACTCAATAATATAGCATAATTACAAATATTGGAACCATTAAAAAAAAACAAAAAAAACATAAACATTGTAATATTTAAATAAATAATTACTACACATGAGAGTATAATGAACAATTTAGATTTTCAAAAAGACAATTTTAGACTTCTGCTTATTAATAACAGCAACAAAAGGAAAAATGTGTTTAGACTGTGTGAATGATCACTTCAAAACAATGTGCTCAAATAAATAACACAATTAAACAAAACTAGTTTCTTTACCTGATGGTGACCTTGACCTCTTGCCATCTCTAGAACTTGACCTTGATGAAGGACGCAGAATACCCTTCCTGCTGTCAGCAGACGATGATCTTGAATCTTCTTTGGCAGGTTCCGGGCTTTTCTTGTCATCTGATGGGGCTGGTGAATGTGCCCCTAAATATGAAAATATTTGTAACAAACATATTGCTTTGAGCCTTCAAGATGCATTTTATATTTTGAACAATAACTTGTCAAACATGAGAGTGAAAATTGAAATATGAGATATTAAATACAAATTCAAAATAACACAATCATAACTTTTAAAAATCAAAGGAAATGTTTTAACAAGATTTTAAAATTCAATATACTGATGTCAAAGCATTATTTAAAGTTATTTACATGCAGATTTCATGTATAAAACAAATTCACCCATTTCTAAACACCTCTGAAACACTGTGTTAAAAGCAATATCATAATTTAGGCTATTAACACCATGGTTAATTTTTTGCCAATTTTGTGAACCTTTCAAAATGGCAAAATATAAAATAGCCCAAAGAATAGTAGTGGATTTCATCTTAATAACTTCTAAAATAATAAAACTATACAACAAAAACAAGGGGGCAATGGGACCAAAAGCCCTCACCTAAAAATATAACATAAAAAAGAGGGCAATAGGCCCCAATTAGTCCTCACCTGAGAACAGAATAGTTAAGAGGTGGGCAGTAGCCACTATGACCTTGACCTTTGAAAGACTGACCTCAAAATCAAGAGGGGTCATCTACTAAGCATGACTAAACAGTAATTTGAACAATCTTGGTAGGGATCAAGTAGACAATTTTTCATGTCAAATATTGAAGTTTAAGCCTTTGGGCTTTCTGAGAAGAAAACTTGTGAAAGTTTAACTGAACACATATAAAGGAAACATAATTATCTTCCCCCAAGGCAGCTATTTTGACCACAGGGCCCTAATTTTAGCAGCCTTGACAGAGGTGTAAAAGATGATGCCAAATACCTTAGCTCTAGCGAGGAGAACCTTTTAGAAGGTTACTATATACATATAAGGTAAATCCTTGACACCCAGGCATCTGTTACATGATGTCATGACATAAATTTACCTTTTATGAGGTCCACTAGATGACGTTTTGTGCTCTAGCCATTAGGGTTCTAGTGGAAAAGAGTTTTAATCGTTCATATCCACATAATGTTATATGGAAAACCAATGACCCTGTGACAGAGCAAATTTTGAGCCCAGGACCATAATTTAAACAACTTTAGAAAAGGACCTCTAGATGATGATATATGCCAAATACCAATGGTCTTGGCCTTGTTATTTCAGATAAGGCAAATTTTGAAATTTGCATTTTTAAAACCCACTTATGCAACCAGTCAGAAACATTTGAACAATTTTGATAGGGGACCTGTCACCTGTATAGATCAGACGACGGACAGATGGGGTCACAGGAGTTCACCATAAGCATGTTGTGCTTAGGTGAGCTAAAAACAGTATTCATAACTATTGCTAAAATCTAAAATTTGTTAAAAGAACTGTGACAACATTTATTTTACTAAATTATGCATGCACTAAAAGTAGTAATTTTTTCTACACAGTTACATATGTATATAATGAATAATGAAAGACTTTGTTATACTGATATTTGTTCTGTAATTTGTAGTTATTGTGTTCAGACAAGAACAGAAAGAATAATACTGAAGATTATATAACAGATTATGTGTTGCTAATTTAATCAAGAAATGGTCTTCAACAGAAGTTTGACTGCACAGTAGAAATCCTACATAAGACCATCTGAATAAAACTGCTATTTAAAAAATATTCCACAATTTTTTATTTGTTTATTTCAATGGTCACATGATCCTATATAAAGACCATCCTCACTGAGTCAAGCCACCAGTAAATTTCCCTAATTATTCAATTCTAAATTTGACTGTGCTAAATCAGACCACAACACCTATTAATGACCACCATCTTGCTTTAACTTTGGAATACATTCATTATAATAAGCTCTGAAAAAGCTAACAGGTTGGCAAATACAAGTTTGATTGTATGTTAAACATGTAAGGCTTTCAGAAAAGATATTAACCATTTCTTTTACAGAGTTTACATAAGAGTTCTGCATACATATTCATGCGAAAAACACCCATTTATACATGGAATAATAGAAATCTCATATGTAAAACTATAATTTACAGGTATAGTCATGTGGTAGTCAGTTAAATATTTACACATTTCACTGTCTGCAATGATAATAATTCAAAAGATGATAATGATAATTGTATAAAGGCTGACTTTTCTGACCAATCTCTATTCTGTTGTTCAACTTGTAATATTTTGATATTGAAATAATTAAAACTTTTGAAATATAAAACAGGAAAAGTCCAGCAGCAGATGGCTAAAAGTTAAAAAACTGAAATTGAAGAAATATCATGCAATATAGAGAAATAAGATGAGGGAGTCTACCATAATAAACTAGCTGACTAATGATAAATGTGAGTATATTCTATATTATATATGTATATATTAACAACCTTTGCAATGCCCCTCCATGATTTTAACTAGCAAAAATAAACAAAAATTCAGTGTTAGTCACATCATCTAACTAAACAATAACTACCACAAAATCTTTATTCCTCTCTGGTATTTTGTAAGATTTTAAATACTTACTTGTTAACAAAGACATGTACATGTATATTATCACAATTTAAACAAGAGCTGTCGGTAGGACAGCAACGCTCGACTATTCTAGTGCTTGATAGTAAAAAATAATGCTTGATACAGTTATCTACTCCAGTCTACAGGTTGGGGTCATGATGGTGAACAAGTGTGCAAAGTTTCAAAGCCATATGTCAATGGACTTTGAAAATATTTGAACTATTACAAAAACTTTAACGTAAATTCTAAGTCGAAAAAGGGGCATAATTCTGTCAAAATGCTTGATAGAGTTACCTCCTCCTGTCTACAGGTTGGGGTCATGATGGTGAACAAGTGTGCAAAGTTTCAAAGCCATATGTCAATGGACTTTGAAAATATTTGAACTATTACAAAAACTTTAACGTAAATTCTAAGTCGAAAAAGGGGCATAATTCTGTCAAAATGCTTGATAGAGTTACCTCCTCCTGTCTACAGGTTGGGGTCATGATGGTAAACAAGTGTGCAAAGTTTCAAAGCCATATGTCAATGGACTTTGAAAATATTTGAACTATTACAAAAACTTTAACATAATTCTAAGTCGAAAAAGGGGCATAATTCTGTCAAAATGCTTGATAGAGTTACCTCCTCCTGTCTACAGGTTGGGGTCATGATGGTGAACAAGTGTGCAAAGTTTCAAAGCCATATGTCAATGGACTTTTGAAAATATTTGAACTATTACAAAAAAACTTTAACGTAAATTCTAAGTCGAAAAAGGGGCATAATTCTGTCAAAATGCTTGATAGAGTTACCTCCTCCTGTCTACAGGTTGGGGTCATGATGGTGAACAAGTGTGCAAAGTTTCAAAGCCATATGTCAATGGACTTTGAAAATATTTGAACTATTACAAAAAACTTTAACATAAATTTTAAGTCGAAAAAGGGGCATAATTCTGTCAAAATGCTTGATAGAGTTACCTCCACCTGTCTACAGGTTGGGGTCATGATGGTGAACAAGTGTGCAAAGTTTCAAAGCCATATGTCAATGGACTTTGAAAATATTTGAACTATTACAAAAACTTTAACGTAAATTCTAAGTCGAAAAAGGGGCATAATTCTGTCAAAATGCTTGATAGAGTTACCTCCTCCTGTCTACAGGTTGGGGTCATGATGGTGAACAAGTGTGCAAAGTTTCAAAGCCATATGTCAATGGACTTTGAAAATATTTGAACTATTACAAAAACTTTAACATAAGTGGTTACGCCGACGCCGACGCTCGGGTGACTACAATAGCTCTACTTATTCTTATCGAATAGTCGAGCTAAAAAATAAAAACCATTAAATTTCATAAAAAAAAAACTATTCTGCAAAACTTTCCATTATTTCTTATTTTTCATTTCTAATGTCATTTTCAATTTCCTTTTTTTATTAAATTTTTATCAAACCAATAGTAAAAATGTAAAATCTAATTATACTCAGATGAAGATGACCATAAAAATATGTAATTCAAGTATTATTTAACATTCCACATTCAATTCCATTCTGCTTAAGATTTCAAAACTTATTCCCTTTTTTTAAAAAAAATATAAAAAAGTAAAATTAAAAAAAAATTTGCTGTCAGTTTTGGAAAAATTTCAAGTTTGGAGTTTTTTAAATTTACAGCAGTAATCAATAAAAATGACATTACTAAAAATTTAAAAACACTGAAGTGTTTTTGGCACCCCAACCCCCAATATTTTTAACATTTTTAACTTATTTCAATTTTGATGATTAACCTAATTTAAAAGAAATAAAAAATATAATATTGTTGTTGTTTTTTTCATGTTATCAACCAAGCAACCAATGACGGAAATTGTGCTTTCACAAAAGCTCTAAGCACTTCATGCTTAGGTGAGTAAAAAAAGGTAGGTAAGTATGATGAACATAGGGACTAAGTTAAACATATATAGCACATTTTTAGGTTAGCTAGCACTAGTTTTACTTCTTGTTAAATACTAGGGCCTAAATACACTGCAATTTAACATTGAATTATTACGTTTTCCCTTCTTTCCTTTGCCTTTTTTCTTCCCACTCCCAGCAGAATCAGGCCGGCTCTTCTTTCCTTTCTTATTAGGAGTTTCTGTGGGTGGGTCAGGTCTAGGTGCTGGGGGCGGGGTTAAAGGAGTAACAGATTCACCCACTTCATATGTGGGTGTGACACTAGAAACAGAATATATCTCAGACTCCGCCCCTTTGGTTTGAAAGATAAAATATGAAAAATAACTTAAAATTGCAAGTTTTTAAACTTTTTAGAAAAAATTTATGAAGATGTAATAGGTATTTGTAAATTGAAATTTTTATAATGCATCTTTTACATGTTTTATGGGGGGCAGTTCCATGTCAACACCCGTTATTTCGACAAAAAAAAAAATTTAGTTAAAAAATTTTTTACAAAAAACCCAGTTTTTATTAGAAATTTTTTTTCTTTTGATGTAAATTCAAATTCTTTTATTACTGTATTAACTTTTGCAAATTAAGTTGGGTTTTTTTTTTTCTCTAGATCAAGTTTTACCAAGTATTTTCATAAGCTGATTACCAAAGACCTTACAATAAATTTTAAGAGTCAAAAGCTATATTATGGCAATTTCAACTTTAATTTTCTGATGTATATGGAATTAAAATTACTATAATAGTATTTAAGAAGTGGCTGTAAGTATTAATGTGAAAGTTTATTTATCCATCTATGTAATACATGGTCTTTGTCATGGAAAACCCATATTATAAACACTGAAATACAAAGCATTTATAGGACTTATTACAATACACTGTGACTGAAAAAAATTTGCAAAAGTGAAAGAATAAAGAAATGTGTATACTTGAGAAAAGAAGTCAATAGCCAAGAAAGATAAATACAGAATAATATCTAAATGTCCACTCGTGTGTAAAAAATCAGCATTCTGTAAAAGAGCTCTTCTGACAAAAGGCACGAACAAGTTAAAATTGTTCAACCATGCAAGAAATGTTCACTCCTCTGATATTATACAAGATAGTAAAAATATATATCTGTACTTATATCTTGGTGCAGATATTTTTAATGTATTTTTTTTTATTAAGGATTCCTAAAAGGTTTGTAGGTATTAAAGATATGCTAAAAAATTTGACTATATTGGGATATGGATTGCAAAAAAATGTACCCCCTTTTTTCTCAATATGTTTCCCCTAGAAACAGTATTTAGAACATATGGTCAATTTAATTGGCTTATCATATATCATTATATAATTTGTTTTAGACCTTATCTTCAATACATTTGTGGTGATTCAAAAAATTTATATCAAAGTGGTTTTTTGACCAACTTCAATAGATTAAATATAAACCTACAAGAAATGAGTTATATATTAGATTAATTTATTTAAAAAAGGGTTACATTAAACAATAGGCTGTATTTTTTGAATTTTTTTTTTAAAGTTTTTTTGATTTTAAAAAAAATTTTTTGTTTTTTTTTTAAAATTTTAATTTTTCCCAAATTTTAAAACCAAGTCCCAAATTATATTTTTTTTAAAAATTCCCCCCAATTTTTGGGGTTGGGAATAAAGAACCATTTTAAAATTCTAATAACCAACACCAATATGAATATGTTTTAAAGGTATTCCCCGCTAGGGACTCTTTTTCCCACCCAAAATAATGGAAATCACCGTAAAAAATTCCCCCAATTTAACATGTTTGGGGTACCCCTTCCCCTTTGAAGGGACGGGGGTTTTAATGGATTTTTCCAAGGTTTCCCCAAGAAAAATTGGTTTTGCCCCCAAAACTTAAAGGGGATTTTTTAAAAAAAACAAATTGGGAATCTTTTGGGAAGCCCAAAGGTCCATGAATTCCCCAAACAAAAAAATTTTGGGCATTGGAAGGCTTTTTTGTTCCCCAATTCCCCTGAAACAAAACCCCCATTCCAAATTTAAATCATTTTAAGTTTAAAAACAGGGGGTTCCAAAATACTGTTACTTTTAAAAAGACAAAGGGAAAATTTCCCCTTCAAAAAAACAGAAAATTTTTTGCTTTGTTTTAAAAAAGTGTAGACCCCACCCCCCAACCCCCAACAAAACCCAAAGTTTTCCCCCTTTTGGAACCCAAAATCATGGTTTTACCCCCCAACTGACAAATTAAAATTATAAATTAACTAAGTTCAAAAAAACAATTTTGGGAAAAAAGGGCCCCATTTGACCCCTTTTGCCCCTTGTGTTTAAATTAATTTTCACCCCCCCCTTGGTGAAGCATTTCCCCTAAAATTTGTTTTTAAATTTCCAAAATTGGGGTTGTTTTGGAATTAATAGGGGGAACCCAACTAAAGAACCCCCCATGGCGTTGTTTGAATGACCCCTTCATTTTGCCCCTTCCCTTGAAACGAAAAAGCCAATATTAGCCCCAGAAAAACTTGAGTTTTTCCCGGTTGGATCTTGGGCAGCCCCTTCTTCAATACTATGATGTTGGCGTGAGTAAATCCCCAAAGGGAAAGCTTATCTTTAAATCTTTTAAAACTTTTTAACACTTGGTTTTTCTCAAAAGAAAAATGAAATTTGGGTTTAAGGGGTTTTGGGGTTAAAGGGAAGAAAATCGATGGTGTGTTTCTAACCGAGTGGCCGTTTAAATTTCTCAGGTGGGCCCGCTCTGGGAGACGGTTTTTGGAATTAAAAGTGGCCCCTAAATTATAATGTTGAAATAAACCCACAAAAAAATTTATGAAAAAAAAATTTTTATTTTGGTTTTTTTGAAATAGGGAAAATTTTAAAAGGTTTCCCCTTAGCCGTTTGTTTCCAACCCTTTTTTGCACCAAAAATTTCCACCCCCAAAGAAAACTTTCCCCAAAAAATTTTAAAAACAAAAAGTTTTTTTATTTTTCCAAAGGCAATTTGATTTCTTCCCAAAAAGTTGTCAACCATTTTTTATCATAAACTAAAAATTTTGGGGAAACTAAACGGCCAAAACTGAAAATGGGTACGTGAAAAATGTTTACTTTTTTGGGTTGTCAAAAGGCCGAACCCAGAATAAACCCCCAAACCAAATAAAATGTGAAAAATTTTCACTCCATTATTTTTAATTTTTCTAATTTGTATTTTCATGTTTAATTTTTTAAATTTAAATTGTTCATTAAAATTAAAAATACTTGTACCACCCCATTAAACACTTTGGGTATTATTTTTTTTTGAAAAAATTTTTCCCAAATTTTAAATATTTGCTGCCCTTTTTTTTCCCTTCACAATTAGGGCAGTTTTTAACAGTTAAAAAGGTGAAGTTGGAATAAAGTCCTTTGGGCCTTAAACTATACCCCAAGGAATAAAAGGGCCCAAAAATTTAAATCATGCAATTTATGCAGTTTTTTTTCAGTTTTCTATTTCTTGTGCCCCCCAAATTTTTTAAATTTTTTTTCCCAAATGGTGCCCCTTCAAGTTAAAGGACTACCCCTAACATTCTTAATAAAAAATGTCCAATTTTTTGGGTATAAAAATAGTTTTAACCATAGAAAAAAGGAGGGAAAAGAAATTTATTCAAATTTTTTACATTGTAAAGAATTCCTTAACTCTAGTAAAAAAAATATCCCATGTTGTTCCCCCTTCTGTAAAGTCCCAGTTTGAATGCTAAAAAAATTTAAGTGATCAGTGTTTTGTTGATGCCCCCCCGGGCGTTTTGGTTGTGTTCATAGGTGACAAAGTTCTGCTAGTGGCTGAACCCCTATAAAAAAAATAAAAAACCCCAAATTTGGAGTTTTTGTTTTACATTGATTTTTCTCTAAAATTCAACTTTCTTTTAAATTTTTTATATTATTTTAAAACAACTAAAGGGGAAAGTTTAATAATATTTAAGATATAAGATGATGAAAAATTTTTTGGGATTTAACACAGTTGTATGTTTAAGTAAAAAAAAATTAAAGATCAAAATGGTATTAAAATTTTTATGTAAAATTACAGAAAAAAAAGACATAAAAAATTCCCAATTTAAATGTGGTTATAAAAAAAAGGCTAACAAAAAAATTATTTGGGTCAGTATTAAAAAGGGCCTTTAAAAAAGATTTTCCTTTGAAATAAAAAAACAAAAAGATCCCAGCAGAAAAAAGGCGCGGGACTTTTTTCCAAATTGTTTGATTAGAACTACTAGACCCTTTAAATTCCAAAAAATTTCAGTCAACAATTAAAAAATTTTATACTTTTATGAAAAAATTTCTACAATTTTTTTAATGTCACAAAAGGCTAAAATTCCAGTACTAGCCCTGTGAGTTAGGGGCCCTTTGGTTTCCGCAGCCTTCAAAAAACAGGAAAATTTTTTTAAGTTAAAAAATTAAAAAAAAAAATTTCCGGGGTTAAAAGGGCCAAAATTGGGAAAAGTCCTTTTAAATTCCAAAAAGATTACCCAAAAATTTTGAAACATAAGAAAAATTCTTTTCTGTGGAAATTAAAAAAAAAACCCCTTAAACAAAACCCTTTGTAGGAAAAGAAAAACTTTAAAAAAACTTTACCTTTTCTGCAAAAACATTGTAAAAAGGGCCCACTCCAAAAATTTCCCCTGGGGTAAAACCAATTAAATGAGGCCCATTAATAATATCTCAAAATCTTTATTTGGCGGCCCCCCTTGTCCCCAAATTTTTCCCAGTGATGTACGAAGGGCCGCGTTTGGGCCCTGAGGTGTTGGAGCAAAACACCAGACACAGGGTTGCCAGATTTATCTCCCTTATATCAAATTGAAAAAACAAAACTTTTAAAAAAATTCTCAGTTATTTTTAAATATATTTTTTGGCCTGCACAAACCCCAAGTAATGTTGCTTCTGCAAAAGCTGTCTGTTGCTGTTCCTGTTTTATACTTTGATCCGATAACTTCTTTTGTACCCATTTATTAAAATCATTTATATTATAAATTACTCAAAAATTAATAAATTATTATCAATGAAGGGGGCCGCCATTTTTTAACAAAAAAAGGAAAAATTTACTTATTTTTTTTTATTTTAACACAAATAATATAAAATTAAATACTTATCACTTCCGATAAAGTTAAAAAAAAAATTAAGATGCTCTCTAAATCATTCTAGATAGATAAAGTATAGGATTTTTCACTTCAATAAAAGTAAACGTAGAAAACATTGAAAGCTTCATACCATCCTCTAGTAGCGGCCATTGCATGATGGAGAACCAAACACAGGGGAAGTTTCACCAGGTTAAGATTGTTTAAATTAATTTCTGCCACTTAGAACGTTTTCATCTATCAAGTCCATATGATCATACATGCCAATGTCCTCAAACAAGGCCCACCTCCAAATTGTGTCTAAAATAATAAATCATGCGTATCTAAGTTAATATCTAACCAGGATTTTTTTATAAAATTAGAAGTTCTCATCATTATATAATGTTTGACATATGACATCATGTAAAAAAAAGAAATTGGCCTATCTGATCATTCTATATATCAGCATTTCTTAAACTATGAAACTTATCATCTTACAAAGAAATATTAATCTCCAACTTCTATAAATGTTGCCAAAATGTAGCACAAACTTCAACAACAGCAATATTTCATTTACAAATGGTAGAAGCACTGGTATGCTAGCTGGATTAGCTTTCTCACATTATTTTTTGTTATTGTTTTTTGGATGGGTTTTATGTTGCACTGACACTGTAAAGGTCATATGACAATTTTTCAGCTTTACTGGTGAAGGAAAACCACAGTTGACCTTCTGTGCATTATTTCAGGCAAAAACAGGCACCTGACTAGAACCACCACAATGATAGCTAGCTGGATAGCTTCCTCACATGAAAGAATCAAAAGTCCCTTATAGAATTTGAACTCAAAGGGTGAGTGGCAAGTGGTTTGAAGTCAATGACCTGCTGTCACATTAATCAATGGCCACATGAAATAATGAATATAAATATTGTAGATCACATGAAATAATACTTGCATGTCTTAACTAAAGGATCACCATAAAATAAAAAGAGAATCACAATAAAACCTTTTGTTCTGGATCTTCTAAATTTTGTGGCACAAGGAGGTTTTTCACTTCATAATCCTTCCTTGCAATATCATGTAGACATTGTTGTTTGAGTAGGACTGATGGAACATCCCGCCAGAATGCTTTCAATTCTTTCTGTAACTCTGCTTTCTCTTCTCTTGCATTTTCTTCCTGGGCTAAAATATGAAAATAAACATTATTAATCATTCTAACATTTAAATAGCTTTGTAAAATTACATCATTTACTGCATTTGTACTGCTTAATAACCTGGTTGGCAAACTTAGTATGTTAATTTAGTAGTCATTTTTTTGTATATTACAACTTTCAGGGAGTTTTTTCTTTCAACATCTTTTTAAAAGACTATCAAACTTCCTATAAAAACTTGCAATGACCAAAGGGAAAGGAAAATATTGTTGAATTATTAAAATTTAAACCTTGTTATGTTGTCATATAGAGGGATTTCTCTTGTAGTTGAGTAAATACAGTATCTTGTCATTTTTTTTTACAAACTTTTTTCATACATAAAGAAGATATTGAAGGTTACAATTTTGTATTTGAAGACAGACATTACATCAAATTTCATTACAAGTGAAAATGTCCTGATTGATGAAAAATTGTGCAGAACAATTTGTAAGAATTTTCAAAAGTGAACAAACATTTGACTAAAATAAGAAAGAACAAATTGTTTTATTTCATTTAAGAAACATAAAAGTCTACAATTAGAAAGAACTTAATAATGATCATTGCATCCTCATTTTTTTACAGATTTTAAGAAAGTATTTGAATAATAAATAAACTTGAATATAAACATTTTGTAATTACCATATTCAGTATACACTGTATATAATTATGATAAATACATGGAGTAATAAATATATACGAGACACTTTTAGTTTGTAACCAATAAAAAGTTGTTGGTTTTTTTTGTCTTTTTAAAAAGGCATTGTATGTTGTTTCAATTGTTGACAATACACCATGTTTAGTATCCCAATTTTTTATTAGATAGCATTTTCCTCCTACTATACTCAAACTTAGATAAAGATTTTTAAAATGACCTCAAAACACCAATTTGTTAGGATAGAGGATAGTATGATAAAAGCAAAGAACAAAAGGGGGCATAATTCTGCAAAATCGATTGGCAAAATTACTTGCCCTTCATATCAAACAAGTTTTTCAAGCCAGGAGTTAATATCTTTGATAGTTTTTTAATATTCTATGCAAAAAGGAAAGATTAAGCAAAAAGGAATTTAAGATTTATCTGTCCTTTAGAAATGCATTCTTATTTTGATAGTAAAAAAGTATTATAAGTTAAAAGTGAATATCTATATTTGATTTTGAGAAATGAACTTTAACAAAAAGGCTTAACAAGAAATACTATGTTGAAAAAGTATCAGTGTAAATACAAAAAATTAAATACCTGCCTTTTGAAATGCTTTCTAATTCAAAAATGAACAAGTATTACATGTTTCAAGTGAATTTCTTTGATGTCTTTTGAGAAATGATCTCTCATTAGAAGGTTAACAAGACAAAACATTTTAAGTTAAGATTGTGTATACTTTTACAAAATATATTTTAATCCTATAATATGGCATCACATTATGATTATGACAAGAATTCAATTAATAAAGTGAATAGCTTTACTTATGTCTGAGAATATTGATATAAATGAAAAGGTTAACCAATGTCAACTTCACAACAATAACTCTACTTTTATATTTTGAAAAGTGCAGCTACAAATGTAAAAATGACAGTAAAAAATCCTCATTCTTTAAAAAACCTTTAAACCATAGTACAAGTAATAAAACATAAATATGATAAAAAATCACAAAACCCCATTCCAAAAAAAAAAAAGAAGAATATCTACTGCTACTTAGTAATATAAAAAATGATCAAATATTATGATAATTATGTTAGTAAAAAATTTGTACCTTTTCCTCCAGGCAAGTTTTAAAGTTGACATTATTTTATGTTTCAAGACCAACAATTATTACCATTTCCCAAAAAGCGTAACATTTGACACTTAAACTTACTGTTACCACTACTTGTAGAGATTTTTGATGACATTTTATTAGCCCGATTCTCCAAACTTTGATGTTCACTCTTACTAGATATGAGTGAGGATTTTCCAGAAAGAAGTGAGGTCTTGGATGGTACGATTGATACTGTTTATAATACAATAACCATTTCATTGCTATCAGTGATAAAAATCAAAACCAATATACAGTCAGACCACAACTATCTTGATGGTGAGTGTGATGAGGCTGTATACTGTTGGCTACTAAATTTCATTATTTTGATGTTAACTATTAATAGATAGATCCAGATTCAAAGTTGGGCTGACAGTATATTGTAGGTAAACAGAGAATAAAGTTCTAGCAGTTGTAAGAATTCAATTATGTTGTTAACAAAGATACTAATGCAAGAATAATACATTAATACATAATATATAATATAACAAGTACCTGTACTTTGTGATTTAGCTGACTTAGACAGGGCTGACTTTCTTTTAGGAACTTTTAAAATATTAAATTATTTATAATGTATACAAGATATATAGTGCAATATAAAAGCAAAAATCTACAATAAAAACAAACAACATTAGCCCAAGTATAAATCTAAAATAAAAAATAAACGAAAATAAAAACAAAACAAGAATAAAAACCATTATCTAGCATAATGATAGCAAACTTTTAAAATAGGATAATTATGTCAATATTCTAACAAATAGACAAGCACATTTATTAGACTGCACATATGAACAGTTTTAACACCAATATATCACAACTTTTTCTTTGTTTCTGCCAACATGTTTTCAGTAAGTACAATTTTCTTATTCTCTTAATTAAAAATATTTTTTATCAATTTATTGTTCTTTTTATTGAAGTTCTGGTCTTTTAACTCACAGTTGTTTAAATATGGTGCACAGGGATTTGCTATGCTTTTCCAGCTTTTGTTACAAAATGGCTTCTCTTCAGGACTTAAAGTAAACAGTGAATTGTTTTGTCTCAAGGTGGGGGGAATCCTGTTAATAGAAATTTGAAATGCCCAGAAAAATAGGAAAATATTCAACATTTAAGGAAGCAACTTCACTGTTTTTATTTCGAGAGTCTGTCTAAGTTTAAGGCAAAATAAAGTTATAAGTATTAAATTAACATTATCAAAATGTATATGAGACAAAATTAAAAAAGTACGTTCATCCTTAGTTGTTTTATCTTTTATTCAGTTTCATCCAATTTTTAGCCAGACCATTAATAAAAACCCTCTACATGCATGTAGTAATCTATCTTTTATTTGCTTTTTCTTTACATTTGTTACAGTTTTGTTGGTATTTAATTGGCGGTTCAAAAAAGAACTGACTACAATAACACAATAAACTAGTTTAACTATTCTTTCTGGTTATTATCATTACACGTACTATGAATCAGACAATTGTGACATTGTATAAAGTTTACATTTTGATCAACATCATTTCAATAATATGGAAAATTATAACATCTGTTTATAAAGATGTAAGGCTAATTACCAGGAAGAGAGGTGATAAGCTACAGTAGTATGCTTGTGATGTTTATTTTTAATAATGTGTCCTGAAATATTATTTCATATGTAGTTAATATTACCTAGCTTACTTTTAGTTGAATATTCTTTTAGTTAACTTTGACGAATATATTTGAAAACAGTATTTCAACCTTGGTAAAATTCTTTTTTAATTTAAACAATTTTCATAAAAATAACTTTTGAATCAATTAGAACAACAAATAAAGTAGAGTCCTTGGCAAAAATACCCACTGATCAATCACCAACTGTTTAATGTTTGAAATTAAAGAGTCAGGGAACTAATGTAATGAAAATTGTAATAAAACAGTTACCCACTGTATAATGTTTAAAATTTGAGGGTGGTTGTAAGGGAACAAAAGTAATATCATTTGATAAACTTTTTGTGCATTTTTCTGAGATTGTGCTTGTCTACAAAAATAAACCTATTTGGGCATAAAACATATCTTACGCTTTTTAGCTCCCTTCTTTTTATCAGACCCTATAATTGTTCATAACTTAAATTCAATTCACAATAAATAAAGCTACAATATCAAAAACAAATTTAACAAATTTTAAAAACCAACAAAATTACCAGGATCCTCAAATGCTAACATTATAAAAGATATTTTATCTGATCAAAAAACTTTGTGAAAAAGTAACATTAGCAACAACAACAATAGCAAACAAGAATATCCTTAGGGAAGGAATAAAATATCTTTAGTTAGAACCTGAATGCTTACAACTGTTGTATATAGCAGCTCACCTAATTTTCTTATTCAAAAAATAAAATATTGACCACTCCTTAAGCATGTGCATGTGTTAATAAACCTTTCATATAATTTTATTTTAACTATTTCAATTACTGACAAATTAAAAAAAAATTCATACATGTGAACTCTCCCACTTTAGGCGGTAGACTCCCACTTTCTTCAGCCATATTTTCAAAGATTTTTCTTAAAATTAGGGGTATTTTCACAAATTAAAGAAATCTCCCTATTTTTGATGTCAGAACTTTTTTCTTTGTTTATTGCAAATTCTAAATTCTCCCTATTTTTGAAGAAAAATCTTCCACTAGATCCTCAAAAAAAGTTCACATGTATGACTAGAACTAAGCGAGTCGGATGTGTCGCCTTGTGAACAATAAAGTTTAGGAAAAATGGCAAGGACAAAAATTAAATTTGAAAATTAACAAAGGGCAATAACTCAAAAAATAAGCATAGCAACAGTTTCTGTGCACTGCACTTCTTATCAATAAGATCTATCATCCTATGAAGTTTCAAGTCAATAGCTTTTATTATTTATGAGAAATGGCCTGGACAAAAATAAAGTATGAAAATTAATAAAGGGTGATTACTCAAAAATAAGAAGTGCAGAGTACAGGTTCTTGTACATTGCACTTTTTCTTAATGAGATCTATCATCCTATGAAGTTTCAAGTCCATAGCTTTTATACATTAGGAGAAATGGCCCGGACAAAAATAAAGTATGAAAATTAACAAAGGGCAATAACTCAAAAATTAAGAAGTGCAGAGTACCGGTTCTTGTAAACTGCACTTTGGGTCATTATAAGAAGCATGCATACCAAGTTTGAAGTCAATCCGACTTATAATGACTGACTTATGCTGCGGACAAGCTTAAGGGGACGCCGACAATGATGCCCACACCACCACTGACAAAAGTAACCCCTATATGTCGCCTTTTTCATGGTGACACAAAAATTAAATAATTAAATGAGATCAATGTTTCTGAAACAATCCAGAAATTCCTTCATGTTCAAGTTTAGTTAAAGAAAACAATATCATTTCGGGCTGACATCCCTTACAAAAAATTGTAAAATATTAGAAATATTTATAGATATAATATTCCTTGTAATTATATTCTTTGCAAATTGAAAGTGTTTAATGAAACTTTAAAAAAAAAATCTTTTAATGACAAAGGTTTGAACAGAGTATTATTGTATGTCACTGACTTACCCAATGTTTTCTCATCCTTCTCAATAGGTTGTTCATCACTTTCTTGAACCTGGAACCTGCTGTAATCCTGAGAGGTGACACAAAGTAAAGACGACACATTTAGACCTAGCTCTGACATAAGGCCAAACAGATGTGGGAAGTGAAAACCATAGATAATTATGTAGTGGTCTGCCCCATCATCTGGTTCATCATCTACAACATTACAGTGATAGTACTACATTAGTTTGTTGTGATTATAAAGTTTATAAAGAAGTTAATGAGAAAAAACATAAATAATAGTTATAACACAGAATATTATCACATTCACTCTAAACAATGAGACTGAGACTACTTAAAAATCAAAGGCTACAAATCAAGAGATAATGAATCAACATTTCTTTTCGTTGAATAAACAAATGATTTTTTTTTTCTAAAAAAATCTTATGCACTTGAATTAGACATTTCAAAACTGAATACAAAATTACAAACACTTAAAATTTGAACACGCTTGTGCAAACTGACATACACATGTATTTAGGAAAGCTATCACCACAAAATTTATACCAATATATTTTCCCTCTGGATCTTCTTCTCCTCTCTTCTTCAGTTTACTACCTTCTTTTGCTTGCTGGGGTTCTGGTGTTTTCTTACCACCGCCCTTGCCTTTCCCTGGAGATTTAGCTCTTTCCTTTCCTCCACCACCACCAGCAGCTTTCTCTGCTGCCTTTGCTTTTGCCTTTTCTCTTTCCAATGCAGCCTTTAATTGTTCATAAAAACATAGTACATGTAACAGAAAGTACATTTGTACATATAATAGTGTTAAACTTCATTTACTGAATACCCCCATTTCAATGGAATATCATCCTCAAATCTCACAGCAAATTACATTTTCCAGTAATTGTTCTGTACCTGAGTTGTTGATAATGCTCTAAAACATGATCTATTTACAAAATGATATTTGTATAAAAGCATGCTGTTGTAAATGATTTCTAAACTGTATATGATATTGCATAGAATATTGTCAAATATAACATTGTTAAAGCCTTATCTACAATCATCAGAAAAATAATTTTTATACCAAAATAAAAGTACATGTATATAACTATTTACCAAATGTCATTGTTATTATTTAAATGATTACTCTGTGAATAAGTTAACTATTTATCAAATCTTTCTACAGACAGTTGAAACATTATTACTTTTTTCTATTTAATATCAAAAAGCTGTATACTGTATACTGTATACAGTTTTGACATTTTCTATGTAAATTCAACCTCACCATCTAACCTCACAATAAGATAAACATACCTTCTTTTCAGCTTCTCTCCTTTTTAAGTCATTTTGTTTAATCCAAAGAAGCTTGAACTTAATTAGCTTGGCTAAAAGGTGAAGAGGTATCTCTTCACCAAGGTCAAGGTGATTTTTGCAGGGTTCACATATCTCATAATGTGCTGGTGTTTCTTTAGGCTTTTTTCCTTTAGGATTTCCAAGTTCCATTACCTATGAATGCAAATTTAAAACAAATTAAATATACAACAATAAAAACACATGAAAAAACAATTTCTGAAGTTTTTGAAACAATCTTATTATAATATATCACCCTTGCTTGGGTGTAAAATAGACTGACATTACAAATCTACCCTGGCATATTGGACTGTGTATTACCAGCCATGTGGCAATCCAACCAGATCATAATTCAGATATGATAATTCAAGAATTGTATCATAAATCATTTTATAGTTTTAATACTAAAGAAATTACAATATTAATAAAAAAAACACACACACAAAAAACAACAAACATTTTAGATGAAAAATAAAAATAAATATAAAAAATGCCTTTAACAACAGTTTAAAATTTCGGTTTGGCTGAAAATAAATTTTAAAGAACAAGGTAAATGCTTGTGAAATGTAAACAAGATAATGTTAAACATTGATTATTAGTTTTTCTTAAGTTTTTATACAATTATTAAAGAGTTATTAGAATTTAATTAATAAATATGTGAATGGCAATGCAGCAATTTTTGGACTAACAAATACCGAATATTTATTGTCAAGGTCTGAATCAGAAATATCTGATTATCTGAGTAATAATTACAGCCCTACTGGCATCTCTTTAAAAGTAGAATTTTGGGGAATCACTGGTTTGAATTGACTTCATGAATCTTTGTCAAATTTGGAAGAAAATAATTTCTGGTGTTATGAAATAGGAACATTAATAAGCCCCAGTGTTTTAATATTACTGTAATTTTTTAGATAAATTGTAGGTAAAATAGCAACATCACTAGTGTTTTACCTCACTGTATAGCTCTTGTTTTGAAAATGCAGAGAAAAGCCTTCTGGAGCCAGCATTTACGGTTTGTCCAAGAACATTGACCCATGTATAATCATCTGCCTGCTTACCAACTACAAATGAAATGTTTGGTTTCCATTTCTCCTGAAAAAAGTAATATATATGGTATTCAGTGCTCTTTTTACCAATTATTACATACTTTTTATCAAGATAACTAATTAAGTAGAACAAATACACAAATTCAACCATTATTGTATGTTCTTAAGATCTAAAAGACAGATTTGTGAAATGTTGTTTAGAATTTTTCTTAAGTCATTACTGCACTATTATCTTTACGAAGAATGTTTTTATGTCAGAGTTAACAGTGTCCCATACAGATTGTATTTAATTTCTCATCTGCTCCACTCATAAATTCATGTAACTTGGTTAAGATTATAAGCAGTGGCTAGCTGAACACTACATGTCTGTATTATGCCAGCCAAAAAGTTCCAGCTGTATGCGAGTCATGTAGGCTAGTCTATACACACTGTAGAAGCTAGGCGCACAGCATTTTTAAAAAAAATTCAACCTAAAGGAAGACTGAATATGCAAGCTTTTTTGTAGAATAAGATTTTATTGAATATTATGAAAACTTTCTCAATTACACCTTTTTTTATCAAATATTTTTTAGTGTTTGATGATGGAAGTTTTTTTCTTTTTCTGAAAATACAACTGAAATAAATTTAAACATTACAAAAAATAATTTCTATGGACAACATAGATTTATTAAAATTTAATTGCAATAAAAACACTTTTAGGTGGCACTGAAAATTACAAATGTAGAGTCAGTGTACCAGATGTCGTACACTTTTTTAAGGAAAAATAATTAATTAATTATAATTGATTTTATTTTGAAAATTACATCCTTTGCCCATAAAAGGGGAAATCAACTTGAACACCTGTCAGATTATACTGTAACTTACAGCATTTCATAAAATAGCAACACTTTTTTTCAGTTACCGATAATTATTTTAAATATTAAGTAGATTTATGATTTTTTGTTTGCTTTATTGGATTAAATTTACGGTAGTAGCAATGTGTATCTGTGTGGGAAAGGATAAGGTAAGTAGATAAGCTGGAAAAAGCTATAGGGAAAAATATGCATAATGACAGGGGAATGGGTAACCTGTTGCTGTTTGTACCAGTCTGGATGACTAAATAACATACGATATAAGTCTGGGACAGATTTTAGATATGCCCTAGGCCCTTTGCTGACGATTTCCCTGTGCCATTCTTATCTATTTTTAGCGCCAATGGCGCAGGCGGATCTCTGCCTCAAGCATTTTTATATATTTCACCATTGTAGGTGATTCGCTCTCATGCAAAAAGGTTGCTCTGATTGGCTAATGCCAAAAAAATGGTGGTTACAGATCACAAGCAACAATTGCTTGGGATTCAACGTTTTAAGCAAATGGGGGACGAGTCTTGCACCTGTAATCATCAGAAATTAAATTGTTCAACAGAAGAAATTGATAAATTATTCAACTGATGAAATTAAACCAAACGGTACATAGAAATCACTAACCGTGATATTTTGGATTATAAACTACTAGATTTGCATGCGTCAATTTAAACGCACATATTTTGAAACTGTGCGTCTTTTTCGATTTTATGCGTATTTTACGCAGGTCGCACATCTAGATTAATCACTGCTTGTAGGTAGTAAACACATACATAAAAATTATTATTGAAAGTTGTTTTATCTTTTAAGTTATGATTTGTTCGATTAAGAGTTTGGTATTATTTTAAACAAAATAATCAAGGTGAAATGACTTGACGTTTGGTAGTTGGGAGAAGTTAATTCATGTGCATATATTTCATAACTTACAGCAAATTTGCCATTACAAAACATACATTTCTTTTCAAATATATATTTTATAATAATCTTAACATTAAAATAGAAATTAGCATGGTTTATTAAAATAGAAATTAGCATGGTTTAATTGCTGAATAAGTTGTTTTTATGTTTGACCCACATAGCCAGGTACATGTATTTACAGGGAGAGGCTGGGGTACAAGATCACAGATTATGTCACATCATGTTGAAAACATGCCAGGTCAGTGAAACACAAATGAAAACTGAATAAATTCATTTGAATTTTCAAGAAAAAATGAAAAATGGGAAAGTGTGTGCGACCGGGTCCTGTGCGGGTCCTGTGCGGCACCGGATACACTGACTCTACATAATTAAACATGCAAGTTACTGACTACATCATTAAATCATTGTCTTTGTTTCTTATTGAGAGAAAAGAAGCTGTACAACAAGCCTATGATTGATATTCAAACAGTAATTCCTTGAAATAATACTTAAAACAAAGACAGTTACCACTCATATGAGGTTCTTAACAGAAATTCAGAACTGTTTTTTTTTTTAATGTTCAACTTTCGTTGTAATAATGTTTAAATTTATCTATTAATGACAGCTTCTTCTTCTTCAATAAAAAAAAATTATCGTAGATTTATCGGGTATTATTCGATAATGAGCTAATAAAGTCTTATATTCCCGGTAGATAGTATTAACAGGATAAAGTGATAACGCGTACACGACTCTGACGGCGGAGCTTTTTGCTATTTATTAAAAAAAATCAAACCTCTTCTAATGCGATCGAGAGAAGCGCTGTTTCCCATTTTGCAGGACCTCCAGCGCCTTGTGCGCTTTTTCCTCTTTTACCAGCCTTTGACATCCTTTCAAGGAAAATTGCAACCAGTTAACGGAAATTAAAAGTTTTCAGATTTCAATCCGCCATTGTTGTTTTCCAAGGTTGCTATGCAAGGTGCGCGTTTGTCTCTCCACGCAGTGATCTCCCCTATATCGTGCACTTCGGACCATAGACATTTCGGACCAAAAACATTCGTTCGTTTAGGGTCTTGATATTCATTTTGTTGTTATATCATGACATTTTCTTAATCATATTTATGTTAAATGTTATTGCCAAGACGCCCTTATGCATCCTGAATTTTCAATAAAAATGCTTTCCAGTGTTTTTACTGTAGTAGGCTATAAGACTAATTGCAACACTGATAGTCAATTCAATGTTTATTTGACTTAATTTTTTATTTTAAATGAGTTGCCTAATCTGGGACTTGAACTCGAGACCTCTCGATTCAGGTCTAGGTATGCCTAAAATACGAAAGTGAGATTTTTGACGAAAGTGAGCGAAAGTGAGCGAAAGTGACTTTTAAAATTTGAATTGTACCGCTTTAATAGAATTTTACGGTGAATTTTCTGTTTGTAGACGTTATTATTATCAACTAATAATATTTCTTTTCAAAAAATAATCCCTATTTTTTTCTACATACTTTTTCTATATACAAGTTCAGCAATCTTCCTTTCGCTCATATAGAAAATACGAAAGTGACCTCTAAAATATCAAATATAGAGTTTAATTGAAATATAGTGTTGAATATCAAATTATTAATTTCTGAAAATATACGTTTACAAACTGCAATTTAAGTACATTTTCAATTCAAACACTATATTTGATATTTGACAAGTCACTTAGAAGATCGCTGATATTGTATATAGAAATTATGCCAAAAATGCGGTATAAAACTATAAATCATCATAATGATTAATTTAGAAAATAAATAATATTAATTTCTTATAATACACAAACTGCGAATTTAGTACATTTTCAATTTAAACTCTATATTCAATACTTTACAAGTCACTTTCGTATTTTTCTATGCAAGAGAAAGGAAGATCGCTAAACTTGTATACAGAAATTACGCCAATAAATGGCGATTAAATTATGATTATGGTTATTTATTTAAGAAATAATATATCCCAAACTGTGATTTTATCGCTCAATAACATCACTGTTTGGAGTTCGGATGCGAGGAATTATATCACGAGGGCGTAGCCCGAGTGATATAATGATGCGCATTCGAACGACAAACAGTGATGTTATCCAGCGATGAAATCACCGATTTGGATATATTATTTCGATTCTAACACGACATAAACAAATAAATGCTGCCGTACCTGCTATTAAGCAAAATTGCGCCTGATTTGTTCCCGTACTTATTGTTAGCGCGTCGGATTTTATAGTGGTTACGTCACATGTATAATGATTACGTCACATATCTAAATATAAAACGTCAAACAGTGACTCTATTGCATAATAACACACACTTTCGGTTCTTCTATGTTCAATAGGGAAAAATGCGGGTCGTGTTAGAATATAATATATATAATTAGTTGCTAATAATATACGTCTACAAACTGCAATTTTACTGCAAAATTCTATTAAAACGGTACAATTCAAATTCTAAAAGTCACTTTCGCTCAATTTCGCTCACTTTCGTCAAAAATCTCACTTTCGTATTTTAGGCAAACCCTGCATTGACCTCTCGGCCACGGTGGTGAAGTTATATGTTATCGCCTGAAAAAAACCATATTATTCTAAATAAGAGTTTGTGACTCTTATTATTTCGACGCTGAACACAGATGTAAATAATCAAGTATGTTTACCTTTAAAGAATGAAACAATATTAGACATATTCGACCATTCGGGAACTACTTTGCTTGAAAATTAATGCGCCTGTTATTTAATTGACAATCTTTCCTGAATTTTTCGGCGATAGTGTACATATAAAGGGAAGTAACCGCTTCAAAAAAGTGGACTACTTTAGGCATTTGCAATTAACAGCATTAGGCTCTGAAATTTCGCTACCATTATTTGTTTGGTCTGACGACCCAAACAAATAAAAACAGAAAGAACAACCATAAAATCAAAAATGTTGAAAATATCTATGAATAAGAAAAAAAACCGGACATACGCTGTCTCGATCTTACAACACGTACATTGTAGGGCATTAAGATATTATTGCTACGTGCCAACAGGCGCGGAGTTATTTGTTGTTTACTATTTTTTTGTCCATGGACCCTAATTTTACCAATTACTCCCTTCGATTTACAGCTAAAAATAAATCCGGAAAGAAGAATTCCTTTCGATTTCTATATTATGTAAAGTCATATATTGGTTTCCCCGTTCGGTGAATCGCAGCATGTCATATTAATTAATGAGAACGTGAACAAATTTCATTAAAAACCTAATCATCGAAGTAGTTTTAGTTGAGCGCGTCTGAAACTAAATGAAATGGTCATTCGTGTCGCGCTATGGTATTAAATAACGAACCGGAGAATTTTGCAGGAAATGAAATGCAAACATATTCAACAATAAATCTTTATAAATTTATCGAAAAAAATTAAGTAGGCCATTTTCACGAATTGTTATTATATCATAGTATTATCTTTTTACTTTCCGATAAACCAATAGCTCCCCTCCTTGTACTTCTGACATTTTTTACCGTGGATATTTAAATCGACTCTGATTTCCCGAGTTTTTGATAGATTGATATCCCAATAAATCATTTAGCAATAGCTTTTCTCTTACCTGTCTAAAATTCAGGTGATAGTCTTCGATTATATTGATAAATAATGTTTCACCATATCAACATGCCATGCAAATTTGTTCATGATTTTTAATGTATCATTATTTTTGTTAACGCGTATAACAAAAAAGCCTGAAATTGGTCTTTTTGAATTTCATCCCGAATTTTTCATTCCAGTGTGTTTCTACTTTCAGTATTCATCTGGGACTTGAGATATAACTACTGTATCTTAAAGATATACTATGCTCATCCTTGCGAAAAATATTTTTATCACAGAAATTTATTGAAATGGGTCGCATTATGGTTGAAAAAGAAAATGTACATGCTTTGATATTTTTTATCATCTAATATTACTCACAACAGTAGTGACACAAACATAACAATGTTGCACTGCTGTCATGTCATATTACAAGTCTTGTAAGTCTTTTATGTATTGGATGGAATTGCTTTCCATACCAGGTTGGCATCAGTGAAAGCATATTTTTTAAAATTTAATATCTGGCCCCTGCATACGATAAGTATAATTATGCAAGTATAATTATGCAAATTTAAATGATTTACAAAACATCCGGAATAATGTACAATAGTACTTAACCTAAATAGAAAATAACCTGCGAGTAGGAATGATTTAGTAAGGTATCTGTAATGAGCGCATTTTTTTGCGCGGAGCTTCTGAATTGCTGCAACATTTGTACTTGTATACCTGTACTTTACCATATATCGCTATAACGGACAGTGTATAACAAGATTAATTTAATCACATCTTACTACTACCGCAGTTTGCCTGGAAAATGGGACAAACCACCTACAAAGTAGCTCAAAATTCAAAATACTTAATGTCTATATTCAAGTCTTTAAAAGTCAAATGTAGCCGTTGACCACCACAAGTGCAATTTCTTAATTACCGCTACTTTTTAAATGCCCGAAACAATTTCGGGCATATTATGTCATAACCCCTGGCGTCCGTCCGTCTGTCTGTCCGTCCGTTAGCAATTTGGATTCCGGAGCATAACTTAAGTTCCATTTGGCCCGAAACATTCAAACTACATAGGGTGATTGTCCACATTGGGTAGAAGACCCCTATTGATTTTGGGGTCAAAGGTCAAGGTCACTTTTACCTTATAACCGAAAACTATTTCCGGAGCATAACTTAAGTTCAATTTGGCCCACAATATTCAAACTTCATAGGATTATTGTCCATATTGGGTAGAATACCTCTATTGATTTTAGGGTCACAAGGTCAAAATCACTATTTCCTTAAAACTGAAAACAGTTTCCACACAATAACTTAAGTATTAATCAACCTACAGCTGTAAAATTTTATAGGATGAACAGCCAAGTCCTATTCATGACCCCTATTGATTTTAGGGTCATAAGGTCAAAGGTCAGGGTTACAATGACCTTAATATTGAAAATTGTGGTTCCGGGAGCATAACACAAGTTTCTACACAAGTAGATCGCAACGTTTACGGAATTTACCGACTAGTTGCCTGGCAATACTTTCAATCCTTATTATTAAATAAGTCCAATGTTATTATAAATAACAGCCGAGATGTTCTAATTGTGTGTAGTTTTGTTCACCAAAATGTGTCGAAATCAGAGTCTGTATATTGATAATTATTTTTGAAACTAAGAAAGCCTTTTTATGCTTATTCAACAAATGTATGTGTTTTTCGTGTAAAGAACAACTAATCAAAATGGATTTGATTGACATGAGTATGAGCCACAAATACAACCTCAGCGAAGAATACATGTATGTGCGATAAATGACCCCAAATAACAAATACTGTCATATGTAAGTTAACCTCAAATTATCTGTGAAGAATTATATAGAAGTGAGTCAATGGCCTGCAGCTATCCTTCAACTGGACCATAATGTCAAAACCTTCAATGAAAATGCATAGCAAAATAAAATTATCTGTTCTAGGTATCATTTGCTGAATCGTCAAGTATTATAGTTTACATTTTACCGGTTTAAAAATATAAATCGTCCCAAATATAACTCAAAATAATTGAGCCGCTGATTTCGTGTCTTTTTGGATATTTTTATCCATACAAATGAATCAATTAATTAATTGAATTGGATATGTAGTCTACCGTAGACATAATGATTAATATGTGCTGCAGCAACTCTATAAAAGTAAGACCTATTGTACGAAACTTTTAACAAAATTAATGCGTACGCTGATTCGGATGATATGGTAGGTTCTCTGCAGGTCAACAACACAATGTTTTTATGGTTAACATAATTATAGAAAGAGAACGGAAGGCATAATGCTTGGCATTTGCAGCCAATTCTTAAAACTCCTTTAAACTGTACGGCTTGGAACTGGTGCCACAAATGACATTTGAAGAAAAAGGTAAGATTTACCCCAAAGATAATAACAATGTAGTATGTTCAAGTTGGTTTATTCATATTTCGCAATGTGTCCGCAAAAGTCAGGCAATCATTTGCCAGCCTTCGCTGAATTAATTATGACTAGCAAAATAATCATATCTAAAAAAAATAATTAATAATAATGATGATAATAATAAAGTAATATAACGTGGAATTTTCAACTAAATTCAAATTAAACCTTGAAACAGTACAAAATGCAGTACTTAAATTGTCTGTGATCGATCACAATACAATAAAATCGACATATCATTACAATCAGAGACATAGATTATCTACATCTCTGTTACAATTCTAACAGTATACAGTAGTCATTTAATTATTGTCCATTACAGTCAATCTTGACAGATTTAGCGCTGAAACTTGAACAAAGGAGACAAGTTTCTTACTTGACGTTGTGCGCACAACGATCTATTGGTTACGTTATTACATCAGCAACAACAAAACTGTTGTGACAATTTGATGAAACTTATGGAAACTTATGAAAATAAACCTTCACATTTTGGTGTGTCCGCGATAGCAAAAATCACGTGATAGGCTATCGTGCTATGGGGGCTCTGTTATTTCGAAGTATATCAGCTCGCCAAATAACCGGTTTGTTTTATTTTTACCATATTAGTTTTTACATTTTCATGTGATGATAGGTGGATCTCCACATAAAGTGATACTAGTTATTTTGTTTTCTAGTGTAAATAGAATGATTTCGTTGCTCCCTATTTTTGAAAAAGTTAATAGAATTTCTTCTCATAGAATAATTACTAGGTTTTCTCCGTAAAGTATAACTCCTTGATACGTCAAAAACCTTCGGACTTAAAGCTTGTTTGTGAATTGGCTCACTTTCTAGAATTAGCGTCTCATTAATGTTGACTAAAATCAATGTATACAAGCGTTTAAGTTGTTGATGAATCACATTGTATTTTAAACTATTCAGTCCATCAGAATGTTGTCGCTGCTTCATTGACTTGAACAATAGTATCCTGAAATAAATGAAATGATCAATGTAAAAAATAAGTGTCTCTTGTTGAAAAATCATTACACTCAGCCACCTCTCATACCCCTTCTACAAAAATCGCCGCAACTTTAAATCTGATCAACATGTTGTAACTAAAATATAATAAGTCATATAAAGTATTATATAAAAATTGTGTCTGATAATGTCCATTTAAAAATTTCAGCAAAAAAATGGTTCAAGAGCAGTAGTAAAATTATTCAAAATTATGTACTATTGTGATGTACCATAAACAATAAACATTTACATAAACAATGTACACATCAACATATCTAAACTAGACGGCCACTAATCCCAGATGCATTCGCTTCAAGGCGAAGGGCACCAGTACTGTTTAGTCAGATAGTAAGAACTTGTTTAACCTTTTACCCCTGAGCATATTGCGAAAAATGGCCGTTTTCATTGAAAAGCCTCCTGTAACAACCCAGCCAGCATGACCATATCGGGCCGATATAGGATTAATGTCGGTATGTCGGCAAAATATGCCGACTATTGGCCGACGTCAGGCCGCTGCAGTACCGACATATTGAGTATTATGAAAAATTCTAAATGCAATGGCATTGTTTACTTAATAATGTGAATAAATTGTCCTGTGTATGATTTCAATTACTAGAACCACACTAACCACATTTCGTGTTACATCAAAAAAGATACATCGGGTCTGCGTCGGGCCTACATGACCTATCAATGCAACTATTTTGTATATCGGATTGACGTCGGTACGACATTGCGTTTTCTGTTAAATTGATTATCATGCAGAAAATAATTGTACATTTTGATATTAATTTCTTAAATAATCATAGTTGAGTTTGGAAATGATATGTGGTTTGTAATTAAATTCAATATTTATGTTTTGACTACATAAAAATCACTCGTTTATTATATTTTAAATGAAAAGCTTGCAAATATTCACTGCAGTCCTACAATTAACAGATTAAGCGCCAAAAGAAAAGCTAACAAAGGAAGGTGATGAAAAGCATGTTTTTTTTAATGTAATGATGATTCAACAAATGTGTAAACGCTGTTAATAATTTGATTTTTACACTTAAAATTATTGGAAAAATACAATTTATCTGTTTGTCTCTTTTTTAAATGTAAAATTATGTTTGAAAATATTTGACACATGATTTCGCGACATGAATTATCATTGTAGTGATTAAAGTTAAATATTCGCCTTTATTATCTTATATTTTGTAAAATAATTATCTTTTATTTTGTGTGTTTGCAGGAGATGTCATCAACATGCTAGCATAAGAATAATACCTGGTCGATATATCTACTGTTGGCTGGCATCGCACCGCTATTGTTTTGATGTAGGCCCGATGTCGGCAAGAAATATCGGGCCTATATCGTTAAGAAATCGGCCCGATATTGTGCTGCCGATGTCGGACCAACATCATTCCTATTTGCAGCCGAGGTTAAAGCCGACATCGGGCCGTCATAGAAAACCATGTCGGTTTGATGTCGGGCCGATATATAATGTTGGCTGGGAAGTTCAAACTGCTATGAAGCTATGAAAAATGTTTCAATACTAATGAAACTTGGCACAAATGTTGACTACACCATAGCCTCTGTAACAGCATGCTCAATGGTAAATTCCTGTTACCATGGCAACGGGGGGACGTCTCAAAATTGCCAAAAATCACTATTTTGCATTGTTTTTTTCCATCAAAAGCTGCAACTTCTCAATGAATTGAGATAGAGTAAAAGGCTTTTCAACGTCGGTTACTAGTTACCCTAAGATCGACCTGAGGCCATTTTTAGCCTGTCACATCACTGTTGTACAGCGTCCACCGGATATAGCCCCTAAAAACACCGCGAAAACGAAAGTAGAAAGCTACACACCGAGTACACCCAAGGTAATGTTTTAACTTATTTCTTCATCATAACTTCATTGATTTTTCCAAACTAAACAATTTTGTGAAGCTAAATGTTTCTTGTTTTAGAGCAATATTTGCTTTTGTCTGCAAATTGAATACTTTTTGTTAGATTGGTGATGAATTATAGCGTATTAGTTGACATTTGCAAACGATGTTGATATGTACCACTAAAACCAGCCCAAAACGCATTTGCTGTATCGAATTCCGCCGTTAATACAAACTATAGCCATCCCTCTACTTATATTTGAGTTCTCACCCTTCAACTTGTGCTGCTTTTAAAAAAAATTGCGAAAAACGGCCTTGCCTTGTGTACAGAGTCTAGCACGGATGTGTACGGGGTGTAGATGGAAAACTGTCCAAAATTTTCTTGGCGATGAGGGGGAAACATTTCTCAAAGGAAAACAGTGTTTGGGGCCTGAATAGGGCATTTTTTCACTGTTTGAGGCCTCAAAAAGGGGGGGGGGGCAAAAGCCCGTCGAAACACGCTTATATAAGGGAAAAGGTTAACAAAAAAATGATGAAAAACATTGGAATTACACAAAAACTAGATTTTGCATGTTAACACATGCCCTAACACAGAAATTTGGTGAAAAATTGTTGTTTTTTAACATTTTTTTTTTATTAACAATGCAGCTTAGATTTGAAAATGTTTTTATACAAGCGGAAATATTTGAAAACGTTACATGGTATTAAAATGTTTGAAAGATATATTTCAATGGAGATATGTGTGACCGTTATATGGTTATATATAGATTTTTGGCGGGAAAATTTATACCAGGTGTGTAAATTATTTTCCGATTACATGTACGTAAGTACGTAAAAGAATTTCATACTTATCTGGGTTCTGTTTTGCCTGTTCGTGTCCTAACATTTTATATCGACCATTCTCTGGTGAAAGATGAGTGACTCTCAAGTGGCTGTATTTGATTCTATAATGAACTATCTTTTTTTAGTGGAACTCCAATACCTCCAGATTTTTTTAACAAAATTTAGTACTTATATGGTCTTTCAGAAATTGTACTGACAGTACAATACTTTCAATACATCTAACTTAGTTTCTAACAAACACATATCATCATATTCCTGTAAATAAAGTTTAGAATTAAGCCCACAAATATTTAAAGTAACAAATTTTAAGTTGCATACCAAAGACAGTTAAGACACAACAGTTTAGTAAGACAAGGTACAAAACAAAGTGACCAGTATTTCTTAAATTGTTCCGCTTTTTTAAGGTGACAACAGACACTTTCCGTGGTACTCACATAAATGTCATTTAAACCAACTTATTTTAGTAATAATTATTATTTATTTAATCTTTGTGCATTAAATGTCGTTGATCATCATAAAAAATAACATATTTGAAAAAAATGCCTTTGTAAATGATTGATTTTTAATAAAAATCCTAAAAATTTGAATCGTCATATCAAAGTCATTTTTTATTTTTTTTGTCATCAAACTTTTGGAAAATAAACATACTTATAATATCTGGGGAACCGTGTCTCAAATTTTTTCTATCTTTTCTCAAAAAAATATTACGTAACGTCAAACATTTTATGCGACTTTTTTCACCATACATATTACGTAATTAAAGATAATTAAGTCGCTGATTGAGCAAACAAAAATCCCTGACACGGTTCCCTCCGTAAATGAATTCCCTTTCATGTGCTTTAAACCGCATGTTAATTGCTTGATTATTAAAAAAGTTATGCCGATTCAAAGTTAGTCCGACCCGCATCAAACGAAGTGTCATAAATCGGCTGTTCTCTCTCGGACCCCTACGTTTCACGCTAAATAATTGCATAATACACAAATATCGCACCAGAGAGGGTCACAAGTTGCGGTAACATACTCTAACAACATTTTATGACCCAGTGTCATCTGACCAATTAAAAAGTTGCTGATTAATATCAGTTTATAACAGAAATTTCTTCAAATCTTAACGTGATTTACTGTCCGTCTGGTATCGGTCGCACATGTCACGTGACTTTCGGTAAAATTTGAGGCACTCGGTGGGGGGAAATGGAACGTATTTGCGCACCGCTAGCGGGGTATTTAATTGTTTCACGTTTGAAGTTTATTATTATTATCATCAGCATTATTATTATATTATACCAGTGTCACTCTGTCTTTCAATTCGTGTATGAATTTCCGTTAAAATATAAATTAAAATAACAAAAAACTGAGCTTCTGACGGTCAATTAAAGTCCATGGTAGATGTACAAATTAGAACGGGATATTATATATTTTTTTCCTCCAAATTGATATAAATGCTTGACATATTTTAATAGAAATAAAAGGTATCACTCGATCATTATGATCTGACCTTCTTGACTTCTATTATCATGAAAATCATTTACGCACGGCATAGAGATCCAGTTTCTACTGGGATATACAATAATTCCATACTTTGTCCCAGGTTTATTAGTACTGTGTTCGATTTACTGGCGAACAATTTATTCAAAGCATTCACTGATAATATATATTAATATCTTTTTTTATTGATTCATAGAGAAATAATCATCCTTAAACAATCTAAAATGGTTTAGAAATTTGTCAGGGACACCTTAAATTACCACAAGTCATATAGGCGTTCACATAAAAAATGTTGTCTGTTTTTGTTGTTGTTTTACTTGACATTGTTAGAAAACGAGGTTGAATGTAAAGCAAGCCATTGAATCCGTTCAAAAGTCCATAAACTCAATGTAATATCTATCAGATTAACGGGACAGACAAATTATTTTCACACATTATGGATATTTTAGCAACCATATTTTTAATCAACCCCGTGGTCGTGCGATTTGCCGCTATGCTTAATTATTTATGTTTCATACATTATGTTACGTACATTGGCCGACAATTTCTTATTTTATAAAAAATGCTAAATAAAAGGTAGACGATATTCATAAAAGATGTACGGTATTTGTACGATACATGAATTACGAGTAGTATGGACCAGTATGGACCGGTAATTCACGGATATATGGAACTACCGATTTCCCTCATTGATGCCTCAACAGGGGGCGGAGCGTTATCGATAATTGACAGGTTACGCGAATAGCAGATAAAAATGGTACAGGTACCATTTAAAAACACATTTTTTGGACTAACTGCTTCCAAAAATTAAATCACGAATGTGTTCAGAAATGGTTGATAAATCTACTAAGCAAAAAATCTCATTTTAGGTATTTTCAGTGATAATTGACTCCGTTGTCACCTTAACTTTCGTATAGATCTAATTACAAAAAACTTTTATATTCACGACAGTGTAACAATGCAGAAAGCGAACATGTAGTTTACCTTTCATGAAGATCGTCATCTTCACCACCCCAGTCAAAATATAAGTTTGAAAAACCATTTATTGCCTCGAAATGTTCTTTTTTAAATGCGCACACTCCACCAAAATAAGTGCGGTAAGGCAATCTGAAATAAATTTGTTAAACATTGATTTCTGTTTATTGCTAAAGGGTGTCTATAAAATGATACGAGCGTTTGGATGAGTGACACTGGCAAACCGGATATACTCTCACAGAAGCATAAATAAATAAAAATAAAGAACCGTAAAATGCCAAAAAAAAATGTTCTCGAAAAGATTGTTTATATTACAAAAATATGAAATCACATCTGACCTGTATTTTTTTGTGTCTATAGCAGATGACATATGTAACGGACTTTGTTGGCATGTATAATTTGTGATGTCACTTTCCGGTAAAAGATCCACGTCATGAAAAATAAAACAGTCGTAGTAATGCAGTTTGTTGACTTCTACGAACCCAATGTTCATCAATAAAGCACGGTTAAATTTTACACTGGCTATCTGTAATCACAATAGTAATATCGTTGTAATATTTTCTTTCTAGTTCAATACGAATATACGAAAGTGGTGATTACAATGGATTCACAATGTCAACTAGTGTATAAAATGAAAAATGATAAAATTCATTTACAAAAAAAAAAAAAAATGAATAAATATGCATGATGATTTTCTTTTAAACACAAATATTTATATATATAATCATTTTCTAAAAGGTCATATTTTCAAAACAAAATTTGTGAAATTTCAAATATGTTAAGTTACAAATAGTATATGTTTCAATAACAGATGTCATTACAGAAAGGACGCATGCGCAGCAAATACAGGAAACGCAAGAAAGGATCATCCAAGATTCAGTTTATTGTGTGCCTTTTTAAGATAGAATTAATAGAAATCTATTATGTACACTTTGGACATACATATAGTAATTATCTAATTCTAGTTACGACAAATCTGATGTGAATATGATTATTTTGCCTGAATCTTTGTATATGTAGAAATGGCAGGAATCACAATCTTAAATTAAACACTTTGGATCTGAACATAATACATAATAGAGAAGGTCGTTCTTAATGTACAGGTCACTTCTTTGTATACAATTGATTGATTGAGTTTTATATGAAATGTTTGACATGAGATATAACAACCTTCGCGTATTCATGAGACTTAAATAATGAAATGACATAATGTAAACCAGCTGTCATCAAGACCTAGATTAATATTCATACCGGTTCTACGACAAAGATCCCATATTCAAGTTGCTGCTGCTGTAAAAAGGGGTGTATGTACTTGAGAAATACTTTCAAATGGGTTTCTCTGTCTCTATACGGGACTATGATGGCTACACGGTGTCTTGCTTCACATGTTAATGGCGTATATCGTCCACCAGGCTTTAGATTATCTAGCTGGTCATCAGTACGATTCATGCTTGCCAAGAGTGAGGTCATATTCAGAAGTTTTGCTGAAAGTATACATTTTTACAGTGCAGAAACTTGGCAAATATATTCAGTCAATATGTATAGTAGCCCAGTGATATAAGGGTTGTACAAGTTTTAATTGAGTGCTTTTATTTGAATTACTCACATTAAATGAGAGAGGTTTAATATAATTTTTTCTACATTGATATTAACGGTGTAGTATACATGATAGTTTCTGTTTTTATTTAACATTATTTCATTTCGAGCTTTTATTTAAATAAATAATGAGAGTCAACGTTTCATTAAGCATAATGTATGTGTGTGTGTGTGTGTGTGCGTGCGTGCGTGTGTGCGTGAGTGTGTGTGTGCGTGCGTGAGTGAGTGTGTGTTGTACCAAGTTAATAAATATACATTTTGTATTATTCTCGGTCTTTAACCGCTTATCATTTTGGATAACCAACTCAAAGACTATTGCCAAACAAAGATTAATTGCTTTATGACTCTGTGGTATTAAAACATGGGTATATTGCTTTAAACAAAGAGGGTAAATATATTTAAGATTTGTATCGTTTGGCAATATTATATGATACGATATGACACAACATGACATAAATAGTTTCATTTGAGCTTATTTAAATTATTTTACCTTTGTCTTTAGTTCGTCTTGTGCATTTCATTTGACGTTGTACAGTTTTTGACGCTGTTGTAAAATGTCTCCATTTATCGTCCAACTTAGTGTCTGACAAATTATTTCTAAATGTCCTTTTATCTAAGTGTATCATATACATGTATTTCAAAATAAGTATTGTCAGCCCACAGGTCAACACAACAAAGAGTATTTTTCTAAATCGACTTCTCATTGTGATTTTATAATCGATTAGTTAATTTAACAGTCCATTATATATTGGTTTAAATTCATGTTCACTTGTTTGCCACATTTTTTTCTACTTTTTTTGTTTATGTTTTTCATTTTATTTTCGGCTACAATACAAAATTCCATGAGATTCCACAAAACGGTAATCGTTTTCTACAGACTTCAAATTTTCTCCAAAAAAACCTTTAAAAAGAAAATTTGCATAGTTTTAGGTAAAGAAGAAGAAATGCAAACCTTAGAGCTTACTCAAAAGGAAGTCAGCTACATAAAAAGCAGAAAAATACACTGAAGTAAGGCCTGTCTAAGTTTGAGTGTGTTATATGTCCTTGTAATGGTATATGAACACTGTCACAATCGTTCTTAAGCAATAAAATAAAGCCTTAAATTCTAGCGTAAATAGAATGCAAACTTGATAAATAATCCATGGTTTCCTCTTTTAACATACAGTCATATTATATAGGTCACTCAGATTAAGCCCACAATATATGAAACTCTTTATAATATAGTGACCTTGATGATAGCCTTTATCTTACAGTCAACGACAAGCGATATATGCATTTTCGCCTGTTATCTGGTATTTACGTAAGATTAAACATATTCCATTCACTAACTTTATATTTACATCTCTATCTTGCGCTGAATTTTCACAATATAATGTTTTATCAAATTTTATTTAAGATCACTTATAGTAACACATAAAACGAAATCTTTTCAAATACATATCTGAACATGCACTGCACTTTTCCCATTCAACTCTACTGAATACTTTATTTACTGAATAACATTATTTATGCGAGCCTCTGGTGCATGTTTATTTGTTTTTATTTAACACGTTTAATCAATTCTAATATTGACGCTATTCCAGTTTGATAAGGGTATTCTAAATATAATTGTTGACATCGGTTATTTGATATACAAAGTTTAATTAGACAATCATAAAATTATATAGCAGAAAAACAATTTTTCACACATATATATATATAACTGATCCTATGTAGTTTTAACCTGTATTTGTCATGGAAAATACAAAATATAGCTTTTCCAGCATATATAACCACTAAAGCGTTTGCGTTTTTTGAGATTTAATATGCGAACAGCAAGAAATGTTTACATTAAAAAGGATAGACGCACCTAAACTGTTTCATTTAGTCTAACTTCACGCGATGTTTTTGTTTAAATAACACATAAGACATTATGTCAAAATAATATATGCACGCCGTGCCGTACTTATCGTTGGTGGGGTCACAATAACTGCAGAGGAATGTGAAAATGCATGTTTTCTGTATGGCATTTGCTTTTCTCTCTCTCTCAAAAATAAATGGCTTTTAAATGAGGTTGCTGATATCCCCCCCCCCCTATTTAACCCCTTTTGGAGTCTACGGCAAAGTACAGTCTTGAAATGGTTTAAGATTATCCACTGGGTAGTTAAAAGAAGGCACTTGAGGTGTATCATCCTTACCAAGTTCTAGTGACACAGGACAATCTCAGGTAGCTACCTAACATGTGTGTGGTAAACTTATCACTTATCACAAATTTCCGTAAAAATGTATTTCTGTTTTTATCTAATTTGAGCGATCACAAAACGATGCTACAATTCAAGTTTAGTGACGGTTCAATAAAAGCTGTAACTATTCAAAGGCCCTGTGATCGCCTAGAAGAGAGAGCAGTTGGTGGCAACTTGCAGTAAGGGTCACAAGAATGCCAAGACCTGACCAATAGTTTCAGAGGTATAATCCGTGGACAACAGCAGTACGAGTATTTCTCAGATCAACAACAACGTTTTTGTACTAAACAAATACAAGGCAAAGTTCTAATATTATTTTATATAAATTTATACCGACATCTATGCATGTATGACTGAGAGAAACAATGTGACAAACTTTCTTTGTTATGTATACGCTTTATGAAGCTCAAGTATCACATTGATGTAACATAAAAATATTAATGTATATGAATGGATGATTATAAGTAAGTCATCAAAATAGCCGCAAGCCAAGGGATTGTACTCGAAATAAATCATTTTATAATTCTAGTAATGTTATAAAAATGTTGAAACTAAGCCTTTTATTTATTATAGTAGTTCACTTTTTTATGCGGGTATGTCTTGCTAAACTACCAAATATATTTCTCGTATCATTTTCCTCTTTACCAACATTCAGTTATACTTGTTTCATAAAGACACCGGAACAATGACTAAAATTGATAAATAGGATATGAGCTAACAATTTTACATTTTGGGTAGGGCTATAGCGAATGTTGTTAAAATCAATCGACCCCTTTGCAATAATCATTTGTTTTTGTATATTCATGTAATTTACAAGTATTTGTAACAGACTATTAAACTATTTTTTTTCTTTTTATTATCTATTTATAATATTTTTTTATTTGTATTTTTTGCTATTTTATTTATTAAGATCTATTATTTATTTATTTATTTATTTATAATTTAGTGATTTATTTGGGGGGGGGGGGTATTCTCAGAGGGAAAAAATGACACCTGATTGAAAAGATTTTAATTTTTTTTTGGAAAATGTGTAAGTAGAAGAAAAAATGCCAATTGTGTCAATCTGGGAAAAGTAAGGTTCCTAAACGGTTAATATCAATGGAAAGTACCGAATTTGCTCAAAGAACTTGGAAGCCTGAGACAATTTAACCTAAAAGCAAGAAGAGAGCTGACGAGAGTTGTCCAAATATCTGTCAGAACTGTGAGTCGTTGTTTAAATATGTATAAAGGTAAAAAGAGGAAAGTTAGAAAGACTCTTATCACCTAAAGAAAAAGACGCATTTCATGGTGTGAACATAAACTGCATTTTGGTATAAGATGAAATACAGGAAAACTTGATAGTCAGGAGAGTAAATGATTGGAGAAAGGCGAATGAAGTTTGGTGTGGCAACATGGAACCGGTTGAGATTCTGTCATGTTTTGGATGTGTCTTGCTTATCAGGCTGTTGAAACCTTAGAAGTTATTAAAAGGATTTTGACTCAGCAAATGATATAATTGTATTTAAAGGCACTTATCTGTGGCAAGTTGTTTCTAAACGTTTTCCTGTATGGATATTTGTCCCGCGAAGGATAATGCCCCAGTGCACTCATAAAAAGACAATCTAATCAGTGTGTTCTGCCGTGAAAATATAGATAATATTATGGAAATTATTGATATTATAAATATATTTATTCATTATTGAAATATTATTCAATTTAAATTATTGTTATAAAATATAAAAAAGTATTCTCAAATGTTTGCATCAGATATTGTAATTGAATGAATCATTGTGTTTTTTAATAATCAATCCTACTTTTTTACACAGTATGTACGAATTCTACAGACAAATAATTGTCGACTAAATGTTTTGAAAAAATAAGCTTGTCACTTAGATTAGACTGCATGTCACATAAGTCTGAGAAACGAGTGGTAAATTGTAAACAGATTGTTATATACATGAATCTAGAAGATGTAGGATTTCACAAGCAGAGCGAGGGCATATACCACTAAATAGCAAACCATCCAACTACAATCTGAGGTCAACTCTTCCAGAAACCGAAGAAGGCACAGTGATAGAAGAGACAGTTATGAGTTCGCATACGGCTTTTAAGTTTGAGTCTTTCAGAAGAGACGGGGCGGAAGATATAGAGATATACCTCAAAAGATTTGAACAGTATCAAGCGTGCACAGGTAATAAAGATGATCAGGCGTTTGCCACTTTATTTTGGTATTTGGAAAGACATTCCCGCCTGTGGATTGTATCATTAGTGAGTCCACCTACTACATTTGGAGGACTAAAAGTAGGATTGACAGAAAAAATATAAGTTCAGCAAACCGATACAGTAGTCTTAAACATATTTCTTCTGAAACAATGAAGCAATGGAAATATTGAAAAATTCAATTTTAGGCTGGAAAATGCATTACTGCTATAGAAAAACAGACTGGACGATGCAATCGCAGTACACATTGAATTGTCTGGTAAGGACAGGAACATTGGATCGGCTGTGAGTACGCATAATTCTAAAAAACTTTGATCAGGTCTTTACAATATTGCATCCATAATGATCATTGCTCCAGTCATTTCTGTTAACGCTATGGACAAAATACCACAACCCACAGCCATCGAAAGCGCTGTGGAAGTATTGGCGGTCGTTATGGCCAAACTTACAACAACAGTAGAGGAGAGAAATTCGGAAACGTTAGGACAGAGTGACCATATGGGAAGACAATATCGCTATAGACATAGGGATTATCAAGCTAACGATGCTATTACCATGGGAAGGAAGAGACAGTGCCATGTAGAAGATGTGGAGTTTGGGAAAAAATACTGCTGATCTCATTCATCATGATGACTCTATTTTCGTCGGTGTGTTCAGTACATAGGGAACTACAGAGATTGAATTATGCTGTTGTTTTTGAACCAGTGACCAAAATACACATGGACAAAGAACATTGAATGCCTTTGAGGTAGAATTACCCAAAGAGGTGAACTTAGTAGAATTATCAGGGTGTTCGAAAAGCAAAAATACCTGTGAGTACAGGTAATGTTCTGTCGTGAAAATATAGATAATATTATGGAATTATTGATATTATAAATGTCTTTATTTATTGTTTAAATATTATTCAATTTGAATTATTGTTATAAAACATTAAAAAGTATTCTCAAATGTTTGCATCAGATACTGTTATTGAATGAATCATTGTGTTTTTAATATACAGATGTGGACACAGTATGTACGAATTATACAGACAAATAAATGTCGACTAAATGTTTTAAAACAACAAAGGTGTTACTTAAATTAGTCTGCATGTTACATAAGTCTGAGAAACAAATTGTAAACAGATTGTTATATACATGTTTCAGTCTGATTGGTCAATTTAAAACATTTTATGTATTGTCGAAATTTTTCATTGGTAACCTCTTTAGATGTCTTATGACACACAAAACTTTTATAAGCTCGTCGTTTCCCAAAGTCGGCAAAATAGCATTATTAAAATAAACTCAGGAAGGTTACGACGATTTTTTATATCTTATAGATTTTAAAAATCAATGACTTTAAGTCAGTAAATCTTATAGCCCTGAGAGAATTCCTCAAACTACAACAACAACAATACAACGAGAAAATAATACGCTGCACAATTTGCGGGACAACAAATGGAAAATGTAAAAAAAATACTCCATTAATGACTTGGCCTTCAGATATAAACGTTATTGAAAATGTATGGCTTTGCATAAAGCAAAACATGGTCGGCCAAAATGTTCAATAAAGTTTAGGGCAGACTTAAAAGACTTTTTGTATGGTCTTACAAAACAGCATATACCTAATACGTCAAGTCAAAGCGAGGACCAAAGAAGAAGAACTTAATTATAATTAAGGTAAGATTGTTATGTTTAATTTATGGTAAAGAGCTAAGATTGGTAAACGTTAAGACGGTTATTTTGATGACTTACTTATGGCCAATCACTGTACATAATTATAAATTAAATATGACACGATTATGCTGAAATAAGATTCTGATCGATGAATAAATATTGATACAAATGATCTGACTGACAGAGGAAATAAATAAACTTAACTGCGCCACAATTTCAGAGCCAGTCATCAGGTACATTTTAGAATTGGCAAGAAAAAGTGTCCGCTTACTTAAAATGATAAATAATTCTATAGGTCACGCGTGTAACCATTATCACAAGGTCACCTTGACCGGAACTGTACCCGCCCCACTATGCCGAACACTGTTCACTATCACGTGAACTTGTTTGCTGGTCATATGTGGAGTTCATTGTAATTTTATGAGATCTACAGTAAAGTGTTCTATCATAACTATCTGGTTATCCTGTTATCTCAATGCTTTCATTTTATCTATTTGTTTACCTACAATATTTATATTTGTGCTATTTTCTGCGTTAACTATAGTTTGAAAACTCTCTTTATTCGCATTAATTGGTAATTGTTTGTTCCCACCATTGCGAACTTCAGCGTCTGTTTTCAGAGGTAAGTTCTTTGCATTGACATCATTTCCTTCGTGAACACTTTTCCTACTGTCTACACTGTTAACTATATTTGTTGAAGATCTATTTATAATAACTTGATTCTGCAGATTTTTGCTTTTTGCCAATCTGTCAAGTAAAGCCTTTTTCTTATTTACATGTGGAGGTACAATATGTGGTAATGGTTCAAATTTGGTAAGATTTGTTGGCAAAATTCCTTTGAAGTCATTTGGAATCCAGCTGACAAATTTGATGCTTTTACGTCTCGCTAACCCAGCTATCAGTTTTATTTTTGGTTCATTAGGTTTTAATTTTGGTACCGAAGCTGCTTTTGCATCAGTTTTCACTTGCATATTTTTTGTAGGGTCTTTTGGTTTGTCCTTGTTCTTTTCATTTACAGTGTTTTTCACAGTGTTTTTCATCGCTAGATTTACTTTAGCAGCACTTTTTGTATTACTTGTCTTTTCAACATTAGATTTAACCTCTTTTCCTTGGAGTCCCTGATTTTTACTCTCACTTTGAACTAAGTTTCCTTGCTTAATCTCCTTGTTTTTATCATCATTCTGTGCTACATTAACTTTTTGAACTGGTTTTATAATTTCAGGTTGTATTGCCTTGCTTAGTTTACCGCTATTTACTTGTGAATTCATCTTGCCTTGAGCGACTTTCCCTTGGACAGGATTTGGGTTTGGCAAAAGTTTTCCTCGTCGCAAATGTTTTGCTGCCAACTTATGAATTGGTTCAGCGTCAATTATCTCTGTCTCGTTGACACTAACAAGTATCCACGTATATAAAGATGTAAGCTCCATTTTCTCAACCTTGTATTTAAGGCTTGTTATTCCATCTGTTTTCTGTCTTGCTTTAACTGTTCTTAAAAGCATAAATCTGAAAAAAAAGGAAAAAAACCTCCAAATAAGTTTTATCTCGATGAAAGCTTAATTTACCTCACAACATGACTAAATAACTAAATTTGTATGTGCGATCTTTTTGTTATTCTGAAATATTTAGTCGTCATTATTAGTGTAAATATTTGTAGCCCAGTAGGGAAGCCATTACATCTATAGACAGGTTAACGTTTACACAATTCGGTCGACGGACATATTTCTGTGATGCTTTACTTGATATCTACACCTTGAGGATTGACCTGAAAGTACTTGTACAAACAACTAGCACATCAATGGCCCCTAAAAAGATATAAAACTATGGATACACCGAGAACCACATTAGTGCTCACGAGCATAGTTTCATTTTAGATGAAGAAGGAACATGTTTACTTTAAATTCTAAATATCTACATTCATAGAATGATCGAATTTATAACATTTCTTCACAGCATGTATTGTTGAATATTATTTTAAAAAATACAAATTTCAAGCATGATATGCATATGTCCGATAAGTACCTGTCTGAATTCCCGTTTTCCTTGACATGTATTAGCATTTTGTATCGAGCTACTTCCGGTGAGTATCTTATCACAGTGAGATTACTGTACAAAATTCTGAAAGAGAAACAACATAAATATGTTACATAAGGATCTGTCGTCGGAACACCTTTTTATTTTACAGGTATGACAGCAAAAGCCATATATTAGCCATTCGTTTCAAACTTCTCGTCAATTTCTGTCAAACTTTTGATAATGGCATCCAAACCAACTACAGAACGGGTTTAACCTTTTTCCTCATATAGACGTGTTTTGACGACTTTTTGCCACCCCTCCCTTTTTTGAGGCCTCAAACAATGAAAAAATGCCATATTTAGTCCCCTTAACATTGTTTTTACGTTTGAGAAATCTTGTTAAAAAATGATCACTTTTTCGGCGCAGCGCCCCCCCCCATCCATTAAAATGATACACCAGGGGGTTGCCAGAAGGGGGCACTAAGAGGGGTGGGGGTGAAGGGGGCGGCAGTCCCCCTCATCGCCAAGAAAATTTTGACACGAGACAGGTTAAAAATGGCCTCAGGTCGATCTTAAGGTAACGTGTAACCAACGCTGAACAGCCTTTTACTCTATCTCAATGCATTGAGAAGTAGCAGCACTTTGAAATCAGTTTTCATTGAAAAAAACACATAAACAATGCAAAATAGTGAGTTTTTCCAATTTTGAGACGCCCCCCCACCCCCCATTGACATGGTAACAGGAAATTTCAGATTAAGCATGCTGTTACAGAGGTTATGATTCAGCCAACATTTGTGCCAAGTTTCATCAGTATTGAAGCATTTTTCATAGTTTTATAGCAGTTTGAACTTGTAACAGGAGGCTTTTCGATGAAAACGGCCATTTTTCACACTATGCTCATGTGGTAAAAGGTTAACCTACGCCACATAATTTAAACATGTAAAAAATTGTGAGTTATAACATTTGTTGACATAGTTTGTGTGATTTAAATTAAGTGGATTAATATATATTTTACATTTTTTGTGTTTCAAGAGACGGAAAGTACAAATTGTATACCTGTTGACAATATTTTGGATCCGAATATACATTGTTCATGTGTTTTTGTATGTAAATGGACATTCTTTCAATATGTATTATATCCGAGATGATCATGAATAAGCGGAAATGTGGTTCGAACCCCTCGTCTATTATTTCTGAATCAAGATGTGATCAATGTATACAATTCATTTAAAACTCGCATATGGAAAGTGGTTGCAATCAATCACGTATTTAGTTACCTTTACATTGTTTTATCAGCATTACAATGTAAATTTAAAGAACTTTTGTACATTCTAAATACAAAAAAATCATTGTTACAAAGGACACTTTATTCACATACATACCAAGAACCATTAAATGCGACAAAGCAAGATAAAACCATGCTTTTAACTTCGTTCGCAAGGTAAACGTTCAACACTTAAAATGTGACATTTATCTTAATTAAATAAATGATATAACTGGTTGTCAGTGGATTAAAATGTAAATTTCTCATATTTCATTTTCTTGTAAAACAGATAATACTAAAATACATAATGACACGCTTATACAAATAAGCACATATCAGTTAATATCCTTAATGATAAGTAAAAACAATACAAAACAGCATTTACCTTCTATACATGTCATCATCCTCGCCACCCCATCCGAAGAAAATGTTAGAAAAACCGTTAATGTTCCGAAACTGTTCTGTCGATATGGCACTGACACCTCCGAATATTTGTGCATATGGCAGTCTGAAAAATCAAACAATACAATATGTATCAGCAGGTATTGTAATCTGAAAAGTCAAACTATACAATAGATGGTTTTGTGTATGGCAATCTGAAAAGCGAAGCGACACAATAGGCATTTGCTATATATGGCACTCTGAAAAAAATCAAGACACAAAACACATCAGCGCTAGAGAACCAATAAATATATAAATATTTGTGAAAATAGAAAGAGGTACTACATTGTATTTGAGTAAAGTATGTACCTTTGTAGACACATAATCATTTAGATTATTTTGAGCATTTATATATTGTTTTGATGTAAGCACAACAATGAACACCTCAGGTCAAAAATAGAACACGCAAACCCAATAGAACACGCAAACCCCAAGGTCAAAATGCCCGACCGGAGAAAAAACAATAACCATGTTAGTAAACAGGTAAGTTAGTAGGATTATAGTATGAGTGTTCATGAGCTAGGGAGGTGTTAATAAGTTTTTTACAATAAATCCTTATAAAATGATTAAATGACGTACAGACTGAAACAATTTATGTGTACAATTTGCTTAATCATTTGACGACATTTAAAAGCACTGTGATAAATTGTACTGTTTTGTAAATCGATGAAAACAGATAAAGTTGGCATCTTTGCCTTTAAATGTGAAGTGAATCATGGTGTTGCTTAATTAGATTATTAATATATCAAGCATATGAAATTTATGTTAGACACCAATAACATTAAATATCGTCGTTATGCTCGTATGTTAAATTATACACGGAAAGGCGTTTTAATGCAACACTGACAAAAGTTGAATATATATTCATCTTAAAATCCCGAAAAGTAAAACACACCACCAAATGAAAACACACGGCCAGCACGTAAGAAAACAGAAAACAACATTAGAAACAGAAAATACATTATCAAAACAAGTACAAAATGGAGACATATAACCAAAATAAGCACACGATCAAAAGTAAAACTCATGACAAAAGAAGACACATAACTAAAAGAATGCAGACGACCAAAAGAAAGTTCATAACTAAAACAAAACATTTGACCGAAATATATTTCCGAAATAGATCGGGCGGCCAAAAGAAACAAAAGACCAAACGAAAACTCATTACCAAAAAGGAAATACATAACAAAGAGAAAAAGAACGAACTTATAAGTTCTATATAATTTATATGATCTTAAAAATCAAACACAGCGACGACAACATATCAAAGTCTGCATGTTCCTTTACGCTGGTGATGTTGAAGTGAAAAGTATAGCACTCATTTCCATTAAGATAATATAGCGATCATCTTTTATCTGTTGAGCGTAGACATGTGTAGTCACATAATTTCAATTATGTCGGTTGATTAAATTTTGTTTAAACCTATTTTATAAATGGAAAACCTATTATACTAATGATAAATAATCACGAAAAGACTTACTTGTACTGAAGTCTATCAATAGCTACAGACATATGTCGAGGAAATTGTGGACATGTATACAGATTCCGATCATCCTCGGGTAGAAGGTCCACATCGTGAAATATAAAACATTGATAGTCGTATTGTTTCATAGCCTCTACAAACCCTACATTCATTAGTAAGGCTCGGTTAAATCTGATGTTCTTTTCCTGAAAATCAAGACAATACACTTTAAAACATAAAAGTAAAGAAATAAGTGTAAAACATAAACTTTTAGCATTTTTATATACTTCAGAAAAAAAAACACTTTAGAAAAGAAAACGTGGGCTGAGTCTTGATATCTGGTTGTCATTGAGGACACCATTTTCTAGTTCGTCATCGTGATTACACTTAACAAATGTTTGATATATGTACTTACCATCTCTACAACAAAAATGCCATAATCTAATTGTTGTCTTTGTAAAAATGGGTGCATGTTCCTCAAAAATATTTTTAGATGAATTTCTCTGTCTCTGTACGGAATAATCACGGCAACACGGTTTCTAGCTATACAGTCCGGCGGCTTGTAACGGCCACCACGTTTCAGCATGGAATTTTCTTGCTCAATGTATGCCCATGCAGCAACTTGTGCATTAACTTTCACATGACCCTCTGAAAAGTAAACCACGTTGCATTTATGTATACCATTTTGTAATCTCAGAAGTAGGTATATGATGTGATATATTAAAACATGTACATTACAGATCCTTTATATAACCTATAGGATATTACTTGCACAACAAGAAATAAGGATTTATAATGTTGATGATTCAGGCTTGGTATATAATATTTGTTGATGTGTAGATTTGTTGATGTGTTTTAATTAAATGTTAAATGAATTCAAACAGAACAGAACACTACACGCAGTATAGGTCATTACAGTGCAGTTGTAATTTATGTAGATTGTGTGACATTAAACAATAAAAGTGTCTTAAGAGAATAAAATTATTATGTTTAATGTTATACACAGTACATGTTATATATTGTTTTTGTTCATTTTCATAATATCAATATTTAATAATATGAAGAAAGTATAAGAATGTATTTTAGGTGATTTGAGATTACATTCATTAACAATTTTATGTCACAGGTCGGTGTGTGATGAGTAAATAGTCATGCTTCGTAAAATATATAAAGATAGCTAAAACAGTACTTACGGAGTTTTGGCGGAATAATTGGACAAGGTTCTAATGGTTTCTCCATTTTCGTCACAGAGTCACGCATGCGTCCTTTCATATTTATTCCAGTCTGGTTCAACATTTTTCCAAAAGAGGAATCCAGAAGTTGTAAGAAAATAATGGAATCATTGTGCCGGAAGATGGCGACATTAACGAGGTATTGTAAACTGATTAAGATAATAACCACTATAATGACAGTCTTTGTTACACAAGTTCTTGACCATCTGCTGTGATTTGGCATTTCTGGAAAAAAATATAATAGTGTTTTAATGATGGTTGTTTAAGTCTCATCCTGTGTTAATCAGTTTGTAAAGGAGCAGTCTGTCACCGTATAGGGGTATACGGACGGGCAGTACATGCTGTAAAGGAGCAGTCTGTCACCGTATAGGGGTATACGGGCGGACAGTACATGTTGTAAAGGAGCAGTCTGTCACCGTATAGGGGTATACGGACGGGCAGTACATGTTGTAAAGGAGCAGTCTGTCACCGTATAGGGGTATACGGACGGGCAGTACATGTTGTAAAGGAGCAGTCTGTCACCGTATAGGGGTATACCGACGGGCAGTACATGTTGTCGATGTTGTTATACAAGTTTTCTATAGTAGTCCCAGAAAATACATGTAGCATTCTACTATTCAAAGTCTAGTGGCGATAAAATTAAAAGCAACAATAGATATATATTTTAACCATAAAGGAATCGCAACGCTATTCCACTGCTAATGATATAAAATGAAACACAAAATGTGTGAAACCGAAGGCACCCTCTCTGCGACCGTATATTATTTTTTTTATAAATAAAGAATTACTTGTCTCTCTTCAAAGTTAACAATGACAAAATTATTTGAATAATGATAACTTAGATTTTATTACTTAAATTGGCTACTTCTCTTAACTTTTTATCTTATGATTATCCAGTACATCTTGATTTACAAATGACCTACTGTTCATGTATATCCGGAATATTGATTTCTTGTAATCACTTTAGTAAACTGATACTTTTTAGGAACTACAACAACTCCAACAACACCAACAAAACCCCGGAACAATTTAAGAGCCAATAATATGATGATAACATGATATATAGTTTAGTAATTTGCTGGTGGCAATGTAAGTCAAGTCATGGTGACAGTTTCATTGATGAAAGAACAGTTCAAAACCAGTCATCAATCATTGTACATCACTGCTTGTGTTTTTTTTTTGTTTTGTTTTACAAAAAAAAAATCTTTAAAAAAAATCTAAAAACACATATTTTTTATCTATTTCATTTTGGTAATTCAATACTTATATTTATCTAGAGCAATGGTGCAATACTCATAGATATAAACTATAATGAGAAAGAAAATGCAACCAAATCTTTATTACAGACACATCATGTGGCGAGTGCAAGCCTGTTTTCAGATGGAAAAAATTTAACACATGTCTTAAAATCTAGTCAATCTTTACGTTAAAATCAATTTTCCGATGATTGAAGTTTTATTTATATACATATACCATTTTAATAACGACTATCTATCGGAAGGCTATTATTGTCTTTATTGTCTTCTTGATAGATATAAAACAGGTGATGACAAGTTGATGATCACACGGAGCACATGTAAGGGAGAATTCTGACACACCTATGACAGTTATATGTCATATCTGATTCATACATACATCTCTTATCTCTTATTGTTAGCTTGTTACAATCGGCGTTTGTGTCATGTTTCATTTTGAATGACATATACAGTAGGTACATAGATACAGATTCATTATTTCACAGCAACCACTAATTCTGTATTATCTATAATCTATATAATTAATACTGTTTGCTTTTTGGTTCAAATTAATCGGTGTTCACACTGAAATATGGAAAGCCATGGCTGTCTTATATTGTTCTTTTTCAATTAATTTAACCATGTGGATAATATCACCTCGACAATATATGTATTGAAAACACCGAAACCATTATATAAATCCAAAGTATAATACATGAAACCATGCCGCTAGTGTATGAAACCAAGGTATAGCTATTAGCCTATATATAAGTTGATCTTATCAATATATGATACCAATTCTTCTATATATGATACCAAAGTAGCCATATATGGAACCAGATATCGTTATATGAATCCGAACTATGAATATATTAATTCATTTTTTAATATATAAAATCAAGTCGTCAATGTATGACACCAAAGTATCAACATATAAGTTGATTTCACATTATATCTTCGATATATGGTACTGAAGTAACCATGTATTAAACCAGATGTCTTTATATGGAACTGAATTATCAATATATTAATTTATTTTTACAATATATGAAACAATTTAATCAATGTATGCAACCATTATCCAAATGGTTAAATAAATTGAAAAAGAACAATATCAGACAGCCATGCCTTTCCATACTGAAACAATTCTAAAATAAAAGTCATTCTATGAATTTTATTAAATATATCATATCGTGCTAGAATTTTTGTTTATATAATGTTAATTTCTATATGTACCAGGTTTAACTTCGTTTCTGAGATTAGAAAGGTTGGTGTAGATTGATATAAAGACGTGAAGATGAAGGTTTGATATTTATTGCCTGATTCAACACCACCGTAAAGATCAGTTATTACAAAAAAAACATCAACATTGATACAGAAACAAGCTGTATCATTTCACTACATATGTTTTTATCTTTACACAACATCACATAATTATATTAGATCAGGTAAAACGTTAAACTAACAAGATGCTTAATCTGTCGTCGAATTCCATGATGGTGTCGACCTGCTTTGGAAGTAGCAAATGATATTTCAGTGGATGATGATTATATGGTACACTGTCCGGTCAGAATGAAAATTAATGCATGCTGATCTGGGCAAAATGATATTACTGCTGGTATTCAGAGTATCAAGATATACTCAAGCTGCATAACTTGCAGATGATAACATCAAATATTTCCTAGTATCCCGCTGACATAAAGAGTGCAGCATCTTCAGATACATGTGAAATAGCGTCTCAGTGTAATACTTTCAAGGAAGTGCCATAAATTAAATATGATACTATTATAGTGTTACATTTAAAATATCATTAATTATAATGATCCCTCTTGGAAACGTTACATGATTCTTATTAGGCTAACCAGAGAGTAATTATACTGAAAAATTATTTACTGTTTTCACACTTTTCTCACATATGTACATCATAGTATTAAATAATGTACAGTTTTAATTAAAAAGGTGTAAATACGACCCAAGATTGATTATGTATATTAGACGAATGTTTAATAACTTAGTTCACAGGAAGTGAATGATTGTCATAAAGATTTGTTAATTGAAATATTAGCATAATTCATCCTTTGTCTATTGTCATTTTTAGACACGTTCCTATGTTTTATGATATATAGTTCTTCCCTCCTTAATTAACACGGCTATGTCTCAAATTAACGTAACAATATGTTAGTAACATTTTTAGCTCGTGTTTTAACTAAAATCAACTACCACAAGAAAATATATAGTTTGAATATATGGAATACCAGTTTTATATTAGGAGGGTCTTTGTCCGGTAGAGCTTTGTCCCGTACCCTGGATGAGTTTTACATCTTGTTACTTCCGGTGTATCTACAGTACTATTTATTTTAACAACACTAGTAGCCGCCGAAAAATTGGAATCCATAGCAAAATAGAATGCATATATAAATGCATTCATTCTTTAACTGTTGAACGACACCTAGCATTACATATGTTTCTTTTAGCATGTAATATAAATCGTATATATTTGAAAAACATTTTCAATATAAAGTAACCATGTTAGTGTTGTATATGATACATGTACTAACATATGATATCGGAATCATGTTTGATGATGTTGTTTAAAACAACCAGACATAAACTCACCTTCATTTTTCATGTCTCTATATCAGACGATATAATTCCAACAATTATTACAAAATCTTTACTAATTCCAAAACTTTGTATATTCAATTAACACCGGTGTCTACATTCTATATTTTAACGTTAACAATTATTCAGGTTTCTCCCAAAAATAAACCTGACAATCTACGTGAAATGCACGTTTTACTGAGGTGCGGTACGGGGGCAAAATTATTCGGCTGGTTCCCCCGAGATGGGCTTATCATGCTTATCAGCGCACATCAGCAGATTCATAACGCTGGCGTCCTGTTGCTTCAAGAGAGGCTTATCAGCAGACGATATTTTACGTTGTTCCCAGGTAACAGTTTAGAAGAATACTGTATCAATAAATAAACTCATATACATGTGGTAAATGATGAATAAAGTTAACAGAAATGTGTAGAATTTAATTTTCAATTGTTCATCTTATTGATCGATTTGTAATAAAATACGTTGTATTTCCCTCTTTAAAGCGATTTTATTGTATCAGGTTCGTAAATATATATACCTGATTGTATGAACAGAAAACTTACATGTTTTGTTTATGTTCTTTTTGTTTGTTCTGTTTTTGTTGTTGCTATCGTTGTAGTTTAAATGGAATAATGTGAACATTCATATTAAGTATGCATAAAAAGAAACAGTCATTGGTTTTCAATGTATTTGACCCATGTTTTCTTCACAAAATAATGTTAGTATTATTGGTATCATTATAATAATAATTATTAATTTTATTATTACAACATATTTAAATATGTTGTTGTAATTCTTGTTGTTGTTGTTGTTGTCTGTCAGCTTCAGGTACTTGTCTTACAAGCAGATAATATGTCTAAGCATCTGGTCAAAATACTGTTAATTAAGTACTAGTAAAATTATCTCTATATAAAAAAGTTAATAAAATATATTGCAAATGTTTACTGTTCAAAGAAAACTGAGCATTTCATTGATTTTATCATACAGCAAAAAGTTTAAAAAGTTAAGGAAAAATTTGCCTTTGTAAATTTTCTATACAAAACTACGGCCTAGACGTCATTCCTAAAACTCTCAAAATTTTAATGTTCGGAGGATTATAAACAAATACAATACAGTAAAAACACCTGTTGTTTTAATGTGCACTGTGTAAAGCACCGTTATTAAACACCTCGGCTACAAAGACTTGCTATTAATCCTTAGGTGGAATATTGGGGAATCGAACATGTGACCCCTGAATTTGTAGTGAGAGTTACCACTAAACTACTGCGTAACGCTCTTCCGTATTTCAAACAGCGTGTTTCAGTTAAACACGGTCCGGGCCTTATTCTATATAATAAAACATAGGTAAAGACAATAAGATAATAATGTATACATACGGGACATCAATCACTGTTGTCAGTGACTGTATGACAAATTAACATCACATCATAATATTACTACATAATACATTCCTCTGTTCCTTTCAACCATTTCTCATGACAGCCGAGAACAGGCGAGGATGCAAACATATAAAAAACAGAATTTACACTGTAAACACCACACACAAATGTAAAATAATAATGAATAATGATGTTAATAGATTACTTGAAAACGTGTCATTTGAAAATCAACCACTTTTACATATATCCAGACATATATTTCATTCACGAAAAGGTTAAATAACATAAATGCGTAAATAAAAACTTAAAGATGTATGTTGATATATTTTTCTACTTTCCCACAGCTCATGAAAGTTTTAGTGGTTGATCTTGTATTTTTATTGAGACTTTAGAGGATAAATCCGGATTTTACAATCTATACACAGCATGATGGCAGACTAATTAAAGCATTAAAACATTAAAGCATACTTTATTTTAAAATACTGGCAAAATTACAAAAATAAATCAATCGATTGCACATGTAATGATTACCCAACGAAATCAAACGATCTTATTACTGCTATTCTCTTTGAAAAAAATGACATTTTTCTTTTTTAACGACACAAATTAAATTACTTATTTACGTTGCGCACAGACAGAATTATAGACTGAAGTCTTAGCTTTAAAGCAATAGTGTGCACCAATCCTGCATGTAATTTAGGTATACAAGTTTATGTAATATCATAAATTATACACAAAGAATTAACAAATTATGATTAAGATGTTTATCTTTGCAATTGTCTATGTTTAAGAACATATACTGTAAAATAATCTATCAATTACAATTAATTTATTTTTGTTAGAACAAAATTATTTACAGTGTGTTAGACGGCAAAACTAACATTCAAAATAATACTGTAATATGAAATGTCCGCAATAGAGATGGAGGTATTTAAGTACATTAGAAGTGAGATATACATGACAACACAAGTTGAGATACCTTTGCCACTGAATAAACACATTATTGTTGGAACATTATATAGGCCACATAAACAAACCGATTTCAAAAATAATTTAGAATCAATTTTGTCTAAATTTTCATTTGCAAATGAAATATACATTGTATGCACTTTCAGATGTACATGTATATGCTTTCCTGAGAAAAAAATCTGTTAATTCAAAGATATCATGTATTTCGAGTTTATACATTCTTCGAAAAATTATAAAAACACACCGACCCGAATTAGTTGTACGGGTTCCTACGGTGTCCTTATCGTGCCATTTAGAATGTCGTCCGTCGCGTCTAAGGGTAGACACACGACAATGCGAAGTGACATCGCGACAATGCGAAGCGACGCTCGACAACGCGAAGCGATATGCGACAATGCGAAGCGACGCTCGACAGTGTCAAACGATATGTCGCACTGTCGCCTAGAAATGTCGCGGTAAAAAAGGGCGACATTAAAGAAATGTCGCTTCGCGTTGTCGAGTGTCGCTTCGCATTGTCGAGCGTCGCTTCGCGTTGTCGCGATGTCACTTCGCGTTGTCGCGATGTCACTTCGCGTTGTCGCATTGTCACTTCGCATTGTCGAGTGTCGAGGTTGGTAGAAGTGCATACCACGACACTCGACAATGCGAAACGACAACGCGACAATGCGATACGACGCTCGACAGTGCGAAGTGACACTCGACATCGCGAAGCGACATTTTTAAAATGTCGAGTAAATGTCGCGTTATTTTTATGATTTTTACACCGCGACGCTCAACATTGCGAAGCGACACTCGACAATGCGAAGCGACACTCGACAACGCGAAGCGATACTCGACAACGCGAAGCGACACTCGACAATGCGAAGCGACATTTGGAATAATATCGTATCGCATTGTCGTGCGTCTACCGGTGCTTGGTCAGAATTTACTAACTCACCGACAAACGGTGCGATCATGGAAGGGGTCGCACTAAACTGCTGACGAATTAGCTGACGATATAGATATATAGGAAACTGCTGACCAGTTAAATAAAGAAGGATTATCGGAAAATGCTGACCAGTTACACAAAGAAGGGAAACATTGAAGGTGTGAAGTTATATAAACACGCCGTAGGGGGTGATAAAAAGATGGGAAATTACTTTATTCTTTTAATTATATTTTTAATTTTTGCATTTATATGACTATGTTTATAAACTAAATTAATATATACATTTAAAGTACCATAATATCATGCATTTTAACACGGATTTACATTACTACATGTAATATAAATCCGTGATTTTAAAAGGATATATTAAACAGCTTTTTATACCTCTAAAGATATGCAAAAATTTGAATTAATGTTTTATAAAGAATTATGATGTTATGAGTTTTATCAAAATCTCTTGTTAGTGATATTTCAATAGAAAAATCTTGTAACGGAAAAAAAATGTATTTTCAAAAGCAATAATTGCAATTTGAATTAATATTAAATAAGTCAGCAGTGTTTTAACTTAATTAAATGTCGACAAAATTTTATACAATATATTGAATTTCGTACATTATAAAATGAATTAAAATTTCACGACAAAATATATTTTTTTCTATATTTCTAACTGGTCAGCAGTTTCCCTATATATCTAACTGGTCAGCAGATTCTACTACATGTGTATCTGTTTAACTGGTCAGCATTTTCTCGCCTGAATGTAAAGAGCGTTAAATTTGCTAACCATATAGAATAAGAAGAGCTTTACGGCTTAAATCAATTTGAAATAACATTAAATTGGTCAGCAGTGTTTTTTACTTAATTAAATGTCGACATAATTTTATAAAATAAATTGAATTTGCATACATAATAAAAATGAATTACAATTTCACGGCAAAATATATTTTTCTCTATATATCTAACTGGTCAGCAGTTTCCCTATATATCTAACTGGTCAGCAGATTCTACTATATGTTTAACTGGTCAGCATTTTCTCGCCTGAATGTAAAGAGCGTTAAATTTGCTGACCATATAGAATAAGAGAGTTTTACGGCTTAAATCAATTTGAATTAACATTAAATTGGTCAGCAGTGTTTTTACTTAATTAAATGTCGACAAAATTTTATACAATATATTGAATTTCGTACATTATAAAATGAATTAAAATTTCACGACAAAATATATTTTTCTCTATATATCTAACTGGTCAGCAGTTTCCCTATATATCTAACTGGTCAGCAGATTCTACTATATGTTTAACTGGTCAGCATTTTCTCGCCTGAATGTAAAGAGCGTTAAATTTGCTGACCATATAGAATAAGAGAGTTTTACGGCTTAAATCAATTTGAATTAACATTAAATTGGTCAGCAGTGTTTTTACTTAATTAAATGTCGACATTATTTTATAAAATATATTAAATTTGCATAATGAGTAACAATTTCGTAGCATTTAAATATATTTTTCTCTATATATCTAACTTTTCAGCAGATTCTACAATATGGTCAGCATTTTAATAACATATTTTTGACTGTTTATTGTATTTTGTCATAGATAAATCAAGAATGACACGTCGCGTGTGAAATCGATTTTAATATGACCTTGGGGCATATCGATCTCGATAAATTATCAGTTGAATGGATATCTGTGGAAACATGTTGTTTATAATGTAATAAAAGCTTATTAACTATAACAATTAGCACATTATCAATTTTTGTTCAATATTACTTATACAATTATACGAACAACAAATAAGGAAACAGAAATTACTTTATTTCATATTTGCACTAAATACGACATAATAATTATATTTTGTTAAAATATACATTACGTATATGTACATGTATATATTTTAACCTATGATGCATAGTTTTATACATACTT